CACCAGACCCAGCTTTACGAGTTGCGTGGTTTCGTGACCCCGGGGGGGTGGGGGGGTGGTTCGGCTATTTCAGCAATAGGAGGTAGAAAACTTCCACGGACAGGCAGGCTTTACATACCTTAGTTCCTCGCGTTAAATACTTGGCAATGTCTAAGTTTTCTCATCTATTGATGAGGCCATTGAGGTTAACTGTGAACCTGGATGAGGAGGAGGTTTAATCATAGACCCTGAGATCTCGAGGTTTATCTTAAAAAGTGTTAAACAGCAATTAGTGGATGCTGTAAGCGTGTTATATATGGATATGCAATATTGAGTAATTGGCCCTTATGAGGGATAGGAGTAGGCGCAGAGAGACATACCTTAGTACCTGCGGTCAAAATCTCGGGGGTGTTCCCACCCATCCTGACCCCCGATCAAACACCCGCCTCCCGGGCACGGCGATCCGCGGCCCCATCGCCCTGCTGCCCACCCCGTGTCCTCCTTTCGCTTGCTGCATCATTCATGCGGGCAAGCACCCTGGAGGAAGATCAAACGAAACGAACTGGGGCAGGGCCCCGATTCCCCATCCACGGGGGCCCACGGGATTACGAAGAACGGAACAGGGGAGAATTAAAGCGTTCTTGGCATCCCATCAACTTGGGGGAAGGGCCAAGTCAGGAAAAGTCACTATCATTAGATCACTTCAGTCGGATGGAAACTCCACTTTCTCATATAAATGAATTGCAATGACGTCCTCGCGCCCTCCTTTTGTCTTCAGTACAAGCATGATCCACTGCAGGCAAAACTTGGGGACTGCTATATCTGCAGTCAAGTTGTTATGGCTACGCCTGGAACAGGTTTCTCCATGTTTCCTTCTGCCGAGACGGAAGGCGCAGAGACATTACTGTATCCCTACTTTGTGGCCCCGGGACCCCTTGAAGAGGGCGGGGGTTGGAGGAGGACCACCGGATTGAAATTCTCTCCCTGATTCACATCTCTGAAGCAAACATTTGTGCTGAGAAGGCGGCTGGGTGATGAAAAAAAAAAACCCCCCAATTACTGCTTCAACGCAGAGTAAGTATGCCTTGGTGCTCGCGTTGGCCACAAGACCCGACAGGCCGTCACATGGCATCAACGTCGCAGTCGTCAATCGGACAGAAGGTCACTCACGCTCGAGATGCACCTCACTCAATGACAAGACATCCTCACCACCCCGTGCCCATCTGCCGCTGCCTACAAACGGGACCCATTTCTCCGCGCCCACCACCAACCATCACCATCAACCCCTCTTCTCCCTTTCCTTACCTCCAATCATCAGCAAGTCAAGAGAGACAATGATGCAGCAATCGTTGCAATAGGTTCGCTCACGGAAAGGGCTCATCTCAAAAGATCGTTGGCCAGGACGCCAGATGCAGACAATAGGGAACTCTAGAGTCCCCACCATCACTACCCCTGTCCGCCACATACCCCCCGCGACGACCGCTGACGATCCTTCCGTCTTTGGGCGGGAACCCCGACAAGCTGACACACTCCACATCGAACATCATTCAAATCATCAGATTCACCTACAGCCCTCCCTCCCCTTCCGCGGATGACATGGATAGCAAATTGACCACATCGCTCATGCCGTTTACTCGTCTCTCGGTATTGACGGTATACCCGATAAATCATTCGAAGAGGCGTCGCATAGACTCGGAGGGGAAGCCATTTACTTATGCTTTGTGCTAAATAAAAACTCGATAGCAAAGGGAGGGATATCCGTAGACAGAGAACAAAAACAAAAAGGCGTTGGCGTACTGTAAGTTCACCGGTCCGGGCACCAAAAAGACGGATGGGCCGCCTCCTTCGGCGACGCTGTCTCCGATAGCTCGGTCTGGCGCGATGGAGCTAAACCCGTCCTGACTGCATCCTACCCGCTCTCGCCTACCTTATTGCCCACTGGCTTTCTGGCTAAGGTTGCCTGAGATTGTTCTTTGGCTGTGCGTTGCATACTCCTGTTCGTACACCGTTTTCGAACAGTCTGTGGGTTTGCATTCGAGGCTATTGCTTGTTCATTTCATCCGATGAAATGAACGCAAATCATCAGGCGAAATAAGCTCCCTTCAGTAAACATGGACAGGCTGCAGCGCACGGGTGGATTCATGCAGCGACGAACTCTGGGTAAACAACCACGGACCGTGTGGTCCGAATCAAAACAAGTCACATCACACCCGAGGGCTCCAACCAACAACATGTGCTGCAGCAATAGCTAGTTATCAATAGCACTATTGGTAGAGGCCTATATGTAAGGCACTATCGGGGGGATATCCACACGTCATTCAAAGGTATATATACACAGAAACGCCAAGTATCCCGCACGTAGTTGGGCGTCAGGTTCCAAACAGAGCAATCTCTCTCCGTGTCGCGTAATGTCTGCTCCAAGTGAGGCTGTTGTCCGAATCAAAAGGTCGCATTTTCATCATCTCCGTTCCCAAAGAAAAAGCCAAGGCCGTAGTCAGGTTGCTTTTTTGCTTCCTGAAAGTATGTACAAAGAAGAATTTTGAGCGAGGCGCCGCTAGAAAGCAGCGAGGCGTATCAGATCCATGCGGCAGCCAAGGGGCGTTGAGATGCGTGGCTGTCCTGGAAAAAGCTGGCGAACAAGCTTTGAACCTCGGTTAGGTAATCCTCTGCGGCGAATTTGCAGAGGCCCTCCGCCTTGAGGGCGCACTCCTCCTCGTACATGACATCGTCCTGGATGCCAAACTCCTCCGCAATCTCGGTCACCTGGGCCAGCTCACGGCCGAACGGGTGCGGCTCGGCAGACTTCTCATGTTTCGGCTGGTGGGGATGCTGGAATGCGGGCGTGGGTAGAGGCGGCACAGGGGTCTTCGGAGCGGGAGCGACTGAGCTGTGAGACATTGTAGAGGCAGCGCTGGAACCCGATGACGCCCGCGAGGAGAATGTCATGCTGGCCTTGGAGGAAACGGTCTTGTCTGAAGACTTGGACATTTGAGACAGTGAGCGCTGGCGAGCCACCGCGTCGTATGAGGCCTGCTTCGTGTGCGAGGGCGCGCGTTTAGGGACGGAAGGAATAGCGGGGACTTCGGAAACGGAAGAGTTGAGAGCCTGGCCTGGGGCGACAAAGTAGCAGGAAAGGTGATTTGGCTCCTTTGACAGTTCGTGAGGCGCTACGTCGGGGCTGGTCGGGGGAGACGACGCGGCGGAGGTGGCGCTTTCCGAGTCGTCCTCTGACGACTTCCTGGACGAGTTGATCGAGGCGTCAGTTCCGGTTCTGGGTCGGATATCGGGAGCGTTATATGAGAGCATGTTGGTGGTGTGAACAAGCTCCATGGGTGCAGAGATCTTGTGTCTGATGACGGGGTGCTTGGTGGTCTTGCTTCGCTGCATGATGTTGCTGCGCTCCTTTCCCCGTGCGGCGTCGGACAGATCGATGCTCTGCTTGACCCGACGGGTTGTGAAGGCTCGTGAGAGTGACGACATGATGGTTGTCGGTAGAAGCTAGTGTTGGCTGAAGGGAAAACGTGAGCAAAAGGCTAGGGGTTGCTGATTATGTAGGCGAACTTGGGTTCAGTTGCGGAACGCAAGCGCCTGATCCGAGAGCCAGGGCCTGTTGTGCAATGAAGGACTGCGAAGAGCGGCAGATGGTGATGAAAAGTGCTTGAAACTGCAATGGTGATTGGACGTGTGACCTTGGTTGGCGGTTGAAGTGGACCCCGTGCAGCAAGATAGTTGCAGTCGAGTGAGCAGCAGGGAAGTGATGCCGAAAAAAGGTGAATGGGGGCGGTGACCGAGAGGATCTGCCGAGCTGATTGTTGAGTGATGGTGTGCTTCAGTGTCCGCCTGTCCACGGCGATGTTGGCAAGAAGCGAGACAAGTGATTATTAAGACGAGACGGGCTGGCCGTGATGGATTATCCTGCGCAAGAGTTGCTGTGTGTTGCTGATCGCGCGAGACAATATGTGAGGAGTCCAGTCCTGGGGTACTTCGGGAGTACGATAAGTCGGGGTCGGTCCGGTTAACACTTGATGTTGTTGCTGTGTGAGCTGTAATGAGTCTTGGATGACTCAGTGAGATGGAGTCGATGAAATGATTGTGAGTGATATAGATCAACTTTGGGGTTGATCTAGGTTTCGCTTGTGTGTAATGACGGACGATTCAGTGCAATAGCCAGCCGAAAAGGAACGTTCAACGTGTCGCGCGGTATAATGGAGAGAGAGAGGGGGTGAGAGAGAGAGAAAGTTGTGTGTTGCTGCCGTACGAGTTCGAGCCCGAGACAAAGGTGTAATGCTTTCGAGTACTCCGTGGAGGGAAAATGTCTAGAGGGAAGGCAAGAATAGAAACAAGACACACCACAAAGGGAACGATGGTGTGTTTGCTGGAGTAGAAGCGAAAGAGACAGGATCCTTTTTCCAATATGGGGAATGGAATAGGTTGAGAAGAAGAAAAAGAGAGAGCAGAGAGCGCGTAAATGACAGGCCAAGGGTCGGGCGTGTGGGAGTAATAATTGAATATTGCAGGTGCAAGCCGCAAGGCGATCTTCTCTAGCTGTTTCTCGGTTCTCCTCTCTTTCTCGAGCGCTTTCCTCTCTCGCAACCTTGACCCGGGCCTGGTTCCTGGCCGAAAGAAAAAGGATGAATGGGGCCCGAGTCCCTTTGGTACCTGGGGGATGTCGCTCTTTGATTGACCCATGCCCCGTTCTGGTTGGCTCTGGACACTCTTACCTCACAAGGACTGGAGCCAACGAGGGTGGGCTTCCTTTTCGCTTCACAAGTGCCTCCCCTGTGGACGGTGGGACTTGGCGAACTGAAAGGGAAAGGCTCCCTTTTTCCTCACAGTGTCTCTTACCAAGACCCCTCTTATCCTACGCTAGGGCCCAAAGGAGATGGCCTCTACGCCAATGACAGTTCGTGTTTGTCATGAACCCCTGGTCCTTTCCCTTCCCCCACTCTTTACCAAGCACAACCTTTTCGCCGTCCACTCTCTGCCACCACTCCCCTTTTTGTCCACTGTTCAGTGTGTACTACGTATGCTGGCTTTGGCCCACGACCCTCCGCCCATTTGGGAAAGGATGCAGCCATCTGTTTGCTGGACTCGCTGTGTTACAACCGCTACCCGTCTGTTTCCTTGCGCCAATACACATTTGGGCGTGGCACGACTCGAACGGTGGGATGGCACATGGATCGATGCCAATCGTCAGCCCGAAGTTCAAACCGCCGTCGACACCATCCTGCCGCCACCAAAGGGATGCGATGATCTGCCTTCTAGAAAGAACAGCCGGCATCGTCAGACCAGCACAGCCGAGACCAGTCCGGCGCGTCACTCGCTTTCCTTTGACAGCTCCTCCGACCTCATTGGATCCTTCACTAGGGCATATTCATACACACACACACACACACACACCCTGTCGACGGACCGACGTCGGCAACACATGACGTGCGATAGCGACTGATGCGTCGGGCTGCGACCGCCATGTGCCCTGCTGTGTCGCCTCTGCATGGCGTACATGCAACGAACTACGGATACTGCTCGGCAATCAAAAGAAAGTAGCCCTTCTTCAAGAAGCTTGACATGTCCAACAGAGGGATCGGGCCTCTAACAATCGCCATCCACCGGCACCTCGATCAACTCGTGGGCCCCGACGGACGCCGACCCGCCAACTTTGAGCGCTTCGCACGCGGCACCGCTCAACATCCTGGAAGAAGATTGTGCACTACGACTCAAGATGGGCGAGCCGCGGCGCATCGTCAACCTGCCAGGTTTCTCCGGGAAGCCACCATCATCCCTGTTTGGACAATATGATGTGATCCGCCGTGGACGGATAATAAAGAAGGGCTGGGCTTTTGCAAAGATGTGGGTTTCTTCTGTGTTGAACCAGTGACTTGGAGTCGACGCCTCCAAAAATCAAGACAGCGTCACCTAAGAGCCCATTAGCCGAGAAAAGTCTCGTGGCCGGTGGTTCCCGGCTGTCCCCAGTGGTGGCTCGACCAGACGGAGGAAGAGGCGTCATTGGCTGGGTATTCCGTCCGCCATCCTTGCCCGTTGGTAGGCCCCCCTGAGGTTTCACTGTTTCATCCTGCGCCATCCCACCCCAGTGGTGCTATATGCCTGGCGTGCCTGCGCAAGCGGGACGGGGATCCATGTCGACGCTTACAACCTTCACCAGTCAGCGCCCCTTGCGCACGTAGGCCCAGCGATTTCACTCTCTCACCCACTCCCCACAACGTGGACAACTCTCTGCTCCCCTCACGCGTCTTCCAGGGGAACCGCCCTGTGGTGGTGTGGGAACCAGTCGATCAGGAACTGCTTTTTTCTCACCTGGGTCTTGCAGGCGGCGAACACGTTCGGTCTGGAAACAAGGAGAAATCTTTGAGCGGCGTCAAAAACACCAAGCTTGCTTTGGCTGATAACATTTTCGTCAGTCTACAATCACTCTGGCATAGCTCTGGTCGAGCTCAATGCTCGGTTGACAATTGACACCCGCGAATAGACCACGAGCAATATCCTGGCCTGGCTCTTATCCTACTTCTGATATTGATCCACCGCCTCCTTCATCATGTGTACGCATGAATATGTCAGGCTGTTGCCGCCCCCCTTCCACGCTTTGTTCATGCTTCATTAGCGATTCTTCCACTCTACTACAACACTCCCTCACAATGGTCGATTGTGGTGAACAAACTTTGGGGGCCACGCAGTCGTGAATTCACCCGCCTAAGTTTAGCCACTTCACATATATCAGTCTTTAAAGAGTTACTTTTCATCACCAATTCTCCCGGTTAGAGCCCACTGTTTGACGGTCTTGGCTTTAAATGTCGACGAAGCTTATGTGGTCTATGCTTGATGCTGTTCAGACGACCACATTCAACTTCAGACGATTTGAGACCACTAGGTAACTTCTACACTGAAAGGCTGTTCTCCACCCGATTGGTACTGGGTACAGGCCGTCTACGTCCCGGCCCAGAGTCGTCATCACTATTGTGATGCTTTTGGCCTACTGCCTTCTGGGTCGGCACCGGGCCGCCGGAGACGACTTCGGCCTGCTGTTTCGATTCATCTGGCCAAGTCTGTGGGAAAAGTCTCCCGGCGCTCTGGAACCAGACTTCGAGCAGGCTGCATCTGGCAACACACGTGAAAGGTCCTCAATCCATGTTGATGAGCGTCCACCCTAGTCCTCATCCTCGTCCATCGAATCGGCGTCCTGCTCGCCCTCCTCTCCTTCATCCTCACTAGAGCTGCTATCATCATCAAGAACGCCAACAAGACGATCTTCCTCCACGCCCTCCGACTTTTGCGGGACGCGCTCAGCGAACGCGTTTCGAACGGCAGCGTTGGTGCTAGTGTCCCACACATGCATGGTTCCGCGACTGCCAGCAACGGCGAGTCTGAAAGCCACCTCGGAATCCGGGGCAAACTGCGTGGAGAATATTTTGCCAACATCCAGGTTGCGAGAAACAACCATGGAGGGGCCGCTGGCCTGGATGTTCCACAGCTTCACAGTCTTGTCAGTTGAGCCAGTGGCCATGAAGCCGGGCACAATGGGGTTGATATCGAAAGAAGAAACAGACTCGTCATGCGCCTGCAAGGTCCAGACGGCCTTGGTCGCCTCGGGGGTTGATGGCGCATTGCGAATGTCGTTGAAGTGGATGATTCCGTTTTCCGTAGAGACGTAGAAGTAGTTGGGGTCGTGAGGATCCCAGCGAATGTTCTCGACGTCGCTCTCAACACCCCACCGAGGCGCCTTGGCCTCGGGAGCTCTCATGTCTGCGGCGACGACCGTTCTGTCGTAGCTGCCACTCAGCAAGACGGTGGACTCGACCGAGTGCCATGCGAGAGAGCACACCTTGTCAGTGTGGTAGGTGTATGACTTAGCACACTTGGCCGTGTGCAAATCCCAAAGCTTCACCGTCTTGTCTGCGGAGGCAGAAGCCAGCAGGTTCCTGTGTTTCCTGTTCGCGGCAAGGGCGAGGACGGCGTCGACGTGGTACTCGTCGTTGGCCTTCTTGGCCTTCTTCTTCTTCTTCTGTTTCTTCTTCTCTTCTGAGCCCTCGCCGGCCTGTCCAAGGATGGCATTGGGATACAGGGAGTCCACCGTGTCGAGATCCCAGACCTCGATATCGGGATCCATGGTGCCGATGGCGACAAAGTTGGCCGTCGAGTCCTTGTCGACGCCGGCCTTCTGGACAGGGATGTCGAGCCACTCGACGCAAAGGGGTATGGCTGGCAGCATGATGTCGTGGTGAACGTAGAGGTTGTCAGCGGCGTCCTCGTAGACGTATACCTCAAGATGGGCCATCTCGTCCTCGACCTTGGCTGCGAGCAGGAGGTTGTCGGTCGCGAGGATCTGCAGGTCCTCGCGGTCGTCGTCATCGTCGTCTGGTCCGCCGTTGGCGGGCAGGGTGATGTATGGGTCATCCTTATTCGATTCGTAGTAGGCTAGCGACTTGATGTTGCCGAACATGGCCATGCCCTCGCCCTGGCCGACCTTTTCCTCGTCGTCTTCGTCGGTGTCGTCGTAGTGCTCGAGATCGTACTCCTTCAGATCATCGTCGTTAATGTCGACCCTACAAAGGCGGAGGAAAATTACACGTTAGCAAGTCACGCATCATGCGATCCCAGCTGCAGCTGGCGAGTTTCTAGGTATAGACCAACTGCTCGGCCTTCTTGCCAGAGGCGCCTGTCGTCGCATCCTCGTCGGCGGGCTTGGCGACGCCCTCCTCCTCGTCCTGCGCTTCCCTCAAGTCCTCTTCCGCGTCGTCCAGCTGGAGCTTGGCGAGCTCGGCAATGCGCTCGTACTCGGACTCGTCAAATGTGTATTTCGAGGGGAAGGGTGCCGCGAAGCCTCGGGGCACCCAGGTTGATGTTGTGATCATGGACATCTTGAAGACAACAATTTCAAGATGTCTCTGTGATCGGGTATATAATGCGCGCTTTCTAAAAAGTACGCAGCGGCGAAACTGGCAGGATATGTGCCCGACTTTTTTTAATTTGAGATTTCGACCGGGGTAAAGTTGAATCGATATGTGCAAAGCGAATTCTCCAACATCCACGACTCTGAGCGACGAACAGAAAAAAAATTCCAGTCGTGGTGGGGTTTATCTTATCTTCTTATCGATAGTACAGAAAAGGATAAGGCCGCATGTGGCGGTCTAAGATACCTCAGGTGGTGAAGTAAGGTACTGCATGCTTCGATATGAAGCGTTTGACGCAATAAGCATGACGCAATATTATCCAATTACCTTGAAATAAGATGATCTAAATGGTTTCCCCCAGAAAGTTTCAAAGCATTAGCGGACCGTACTATACATTCATTCTCAGTACCTTGGAGGCCAGCTTGAGCCGCGCTCATTGCATTATCGGACTAGTGGGTGATATCTGTTATGGATATACGCATAAGAAAGCCAGACCCTCTTAAACGCTTCGGTTTAGGTGGGTACTGCCCCATTTCTCATGGTTTGTTTTGTTTACTTGGATTGCCTACATGCATTTCTAGATTACCTTACTCTTCCAATGCCTGGAATCGTAGCTATTCTCAATGCCACCCACAGCAGTGCAACCAACAATATTCTGCTCGGACGACGGCTTCATCGAAGGTGAAAAGCGCGCGAAGGTCTAGAGACCGACGACGACAACGACGTGCGCGACCATTAGGTCACGGCCAAAATGTACGATAACAGAGATGGATCAGGTCCCAGTTTCAAGCGCCGGAGGCTAGACGGAGGGCGATTCCAAGACTCGGGCCGCTCAACACCGCGCGACGCCCGCGCCGCCGAGACGCCAGCCAGGGACGTCCCGGAACCCACCGACGAAGACTCGAAAGCGCTGGATCGCGACTGGTATTTGGGAGACGAATTTGGCGGCCACACATTCGGAGACGACACCCACAACCCGTTCGCTTCGTACTCTTCATGGGAGGCCGAGAAGCAGGAGGCCGTCAAGGCGGAGAAGATGACGGGGCGCTTCGATGCGCGAAAGGAGCAGAGACAGAGGGAGAATGACGCATGGGAGACAAATCGCATGCTAGTTTCGGGCGTTGCGCAGAGGAGGGATATGGGTGCCGATTTCGATGACGAGGAGGCTACAAGAGTCCATCTCTTGGTGCATGATCTGCGACCTCCGTTCCTCGATGGACGAACCATCTTTACGAAGCAGCTGGAGCCCGTGCCGGCCGTCCGTGACTTCCAGAGCGACATGGCCGTATTCAGTCGGAAAGGCAGCAAGGTGGTGAAGGAGTCGCGTCAGCAGAGGGAACGGCAGCGACAAGCACAGGAGGCCACGAGCATGGCTGGCACGGCTTTGGGGAATTTGATGGGCGTGAAGGAGGATGATGGCGACAGCGCGTTGCCTGTGGCTTCGGAGAATGACGCGAAGAAGAGAGGGGAGAAGGAGGAGACGAATGAAAACAGCAACAAGTTTAGCGACCACATGAAGAAAGATGATGGGGGCAGCAGTGATTTCAGTCGGAGCAAGACGTTGCGCGAGCAGAGGCAATACCTACCTGCGTTTGCCGTTCGAGAGGATTTGATGCGTGTCATCCGGGAGAACCAAGTCATCATCGTGGTGGGCGAAACGGGATCCGGCAAGACGACGCAACTGACGCAATTTCTCTACGAGGATGGTTTTGGAAATTCAGGGATGATTGGATGCACTCAGCCCAGACGTGTAGCCGCGATGAGTGTTGCCAAGCGTGTTTCCGAGGAGATGCAAGTCAAGCTGGGCAGCACAGTGGGCTATGCTATTCGTTTCGAAGATTGCACCAGCAAGGATACCGTCATCAAGTACATGACCGACGGTGTCTTGTTGAGAGAGTCACTCAACGAGCCTGACCTCGACAGGTATTCGTGCGTCATCATGGACGAAGCACACGAGAGAGCTCTCAACACGGACATCCTAATGGGGCTTTTCAAGAAGATTCTCCAGCGGCGACGAGACCTGAAGCTCATCGTCACCTCTGCGACGATGAACGCGAAGCGATTCTCGGACTTTTACGGCGGGGCTCCCGAGTTCATCATCCCGGGCCGGACCTTTCCAGTCGATGTCATGTTTCACAGGTCACCAGTTGAAGACTACGTGGATCAGGCGGTTCAGCAGGTCCTGGCCATCCACGTGTCCATGGACCAGGGTGATATCCTCGTTTTCATGACGGGACAAGAAGACATCGAGGTCACCTGCGAGCTGATCCAGAAGCGGCTTGACGCCCTCAACGACCCGCCGAAGCTGAGCATCCTACCCATCTACAGTCAGATGCCGGCAGACTTGCAAGCCAAGATTTTCGACCGCGCGGCGCCCGGTGTGCGCAAGTGCATCATCGCGACGAATATCGCGGAGACGAGTTTGACCGTTGACGGTATCAAATACGTGGTAGACGCCGGATATAGCAAGATGAAGGTATACAACCCGAAGATGGGTATGGACACCCTTCAGATTACCCCAATCTCCCAAGCGAACGCGTCGCAGCGATCGGGACGTGCCGGTCGAACAGGGCCTGGAAAGGCGTTTCGGCTGTTCACTGAGAAGGCATTCAAAGAGGAACTCTACATGCAGACGATTCCCGAAATCCAGCGCACGAACCTGAGCAACACAGTACTCATGCTCAAGTCGCTAGGTGTCAAGGATCTGTTGGATTTTGACTTTATGGATCCGCCACCGCAGGACACCATCACGACATCAATGTTTGATCTGTGGGCTTTGGGCGCCTTGGATAACCTGGGAGAGCTAACTACGCTCGGTCGAAAGATGAGCGCGTTCCCGATGGACCCGTCACTCTCCAAGCTCCTCATCACGGCCGAGGAATACGGCTGCAGCGAGGAAATGATCACCATCGTGTCCATGCTCTCCGTCCCCAACGTCTTTTACAGACCCAAAGAACGCCAGGACGAGGCAGATGCCCAGCGTGAAAAGTTCTGGGTGCACGAGTCGGACCACCTGACGTATCTTCAGGTGTACTCAGCGTGGAGGTCAAACGGTTGCTCGGATGGCTGGTGTATCAAGCACTTTTTGCACCCCAAGTCGCTCCGCCGCGCCAAGGAGATCCGCGACCAGCTGCTCGACATCATGAAGATGCAAAAGATGGAGATGCTTAGCTGCGGTATGGACTGGGACGTCATCCGTAAGTGTATCTGCAGCGGCTACTACCACCAGGCGGCCAAGTACAAGGGCTCGGGCGAGTACATCAACCTGCGAACAAACCTTGGCGTCCAGCTGCACCCGACGTCGGCGCTGTACGCGGGTCATCCACCCGATTACGTCGTCTATCACGAGCTCATCCTGACGTCAAAGGTGTACGTGTCGACCGTCACGGCCGTGGACCCGCATTGGCTGGCCGATCTGGGAGGTGTCTTTTACTCGGTCAAGGAAAAGGGGTACTCGGTGCGAGACAAGCGCATCACCGAGACGGAGTTTAACCGCAAGATGGAGATCGAGACCAAGATGGCCGAGGATAAGAAGAGGGAGGAAGATCGATTGGAGGCGGAGAAGGAGAAGTCTGCGAGGAGAAAGACTGGCGGAGCCGCGACGGCGGCTGGGGGGAAGAAGATTGTTACGCACGGGGCCGTGAGGAAGCCTGTCATTAAGCGACGGGGCAGAGGCTTTTAGCGACTTTTGATGGGTAGAAATGCTAAATTCTGGAGGGTTCGAATTCCTCTTGAGATTCTACTCCCTTGCTTAGCGTCGTAGCTCACAAATTCCGTCGAAGGGACAGAGAGAGCCAGCGCAGCTCGAAGATTTGGTCCCAGTCATCCTGCTAATGGGTTGGCCTGTTGAGAAGGATGACGCTACATCGAGTGAATTGTCTTTGGGTGTCAGATATCTCTGTCAAGACCCTTTGCCAAGCTCCGGCTCGCTTTTGGGTGGACTCATGTTACTAGCGACGGACGCTAGGTGGTAGGGTTGTCGGGAAGGTATCTCAGGTAGACTAGACAATGCTGGGTAGACGCATCGGCGATATCACTTGCGAGGTATCCGGACATTCAATGGACGGTAGATTCGGAAACCCGGACCTGTCGGTTGCCTTTAATGCAATCATTGTAATGGGGGAGTGAGGAAAAGACGACAAAGCAGACACATGATGGCACAGAGGCGGAATTGTCACATTAACATTGAACGATGCCTACCTTAGTATAGAGGTTTGATGATGAGTATCAAGACCTGATAACACTCGACGTGAACAACAAAGTGTTAAAGATCCTTACTACGTTCAACCTTGTACCCCTCGACTTAAAATTGTAGGTAGTATTGAGAGTTTCTTGCAGGGGCTTGCCCATTGCAACTACACCTTGGACGGGTGGACTCGGCAGCTTCAAAGGATCAACCAAGGGTCGCTGACTACATTGTGGGTGGTTCTCATAATGATTAGAGCAGGAATTCGAAAGAGATTAAAAGTTGGGCATCGACCGGAGGATTGACAAACTTACCGTATGTTTGGTTAGAAATATCACACTTGTAGCAATTGAATGTCACATAGACCATGAGATCACAAAAGCCATAGCTAACTAGTTGCGAAAAGGGTAGCCTTGGTGCCGACTTGGAACTAAGAGATCACAAACGTTCTCATGGTCTGAATGACTAGTGGCTAGTATTGGTGGGTGACCATCAACGGTTCAGCAGTGCCCTTTCTTCCACTGCTCAATTCCACTGCTCTGCACTCTTCGATCAGTTGTTCTCACTTCACTGAGGTCGAACCTGTCTTCACGTATACAAGTGGTGGGCATTTCCTTCTAGTGTAGTGGCAGGTGTCTGCAGCGGGTACGCGTCAATGTCGCTAGCAGACGAGCCGTCAGCTCAGTGCGTCGCTTTCTTTCTCTATTTGCTTACCATTCCGCAAAGGACAGCGAGCATACTCACGAGACAGAATGGAATGAGTGAAACACTAGCATAGCCAAATAGCTGAGTCTGATAAGTATTCAGTGGGCCGCTGGTTGCTGTGACAGCTTCTGGACCGCGTTGGGGAGCTCTGCCAAGGATCCATAGGACATGGGTAAACCAGACCAGCTTTGCTTCCACGCTATTCCGGGGAGAGCTTAATGGGCCTTTATAGTCGTCAGGGTAGAAGGCGTTGACAAAATCTACCGCAGCCTTTGACGCCATAGGGCCATCTTAGATCTTGAAGACGGTGCCCTGTGTATCAGTTGTCTTGGTCATATCCATTAGGACGTGCCCGCCCTCACTTTCATTGTTGGCAATCATATGGAAAGATGTCTTGCTTGTGTTGCCAATAGAAAGAAATGCCAGTGGATATTTACATATGATTTTCCCTACGGCCTACTTTTACTTTAGCTAGATGTGGCAATGCTGACATATGGTAGTGGTGCTGTCTACCTTTGCATGTCCGTTAGGTCACGGCCGTTCCGTATTGCAGGGAGTTCTACTAGGTCGAGAACTAGAAATATATTCCGTAGTCACGCGTTCGCTGTTTATGGCATTGATTCTTCATTGGACCTCACCTGTACTCAACAAATGAATAATTTTGTTGCATTACTCGTCCAAAAGACGATCACCCGCCTTTGACATTACTGAGATTTTGAAGCTAAGTGCTCCTTAGCAGAGAAAGTTTAATAACAATTTTGAACTCTACAGTGATGAAACATCGTATAACGCCGCGATCCCTCTCCCTTTCCACTCTTTAATCCCCTCGATCTTAGTCTTCCTACAGGCATTATTCATCTAAGAAAAGTCGCTGAAGTCAACACTCATCGTCGTACCGCGAAGCCCTTTTCATCCTGAACAAGATCCCTCTCCTCCTGATCAAGCTTAACAACCCTGGCTGATCTCGGGCCCTCGTCAATATCCTTGAGCAGCTTCTTCAGCGCATCCTCTTCTCCCTGTGCCTCGCCCTCCACCTATGCCCGATTGAGTCAGCGGCAACAATTCCAAGGAGTGCAAGGCCTTATCAAGTTCCATCAGAAGAGTCAAACCGAAGACTCATTTACCAAAAAAACCGAACAAGTTGGAAAACCCACCTTGTTGTTGTCAGTGTTGCGACACCACCCCGTTAGTCCGTACTCGGTGGCTCTCTTTCGCGTAAAGTATCTATCGTCCACATCGCTTCGTCAATACCATAAAAAACATCACTTATTCGATTGACACTAAACCGATCTAAACAGCATTGAAAGCCGTGTTGTCAGAATTTCGCATCACGCACCGGAATCCGACACCTGGATTTATGACGTCAGTGTGTCCCGAAAACTCACTTATCACAAGTTCACACCCCTCCCTCTTATCCAGCAGATGAAAGCTCGGAGCTCATGTGGAGGGGGAGGGGCTCAGGGGGGAACAAACGTACCTTGTACTTGACCGCCATGGGCCAGGAAATATATCTGATTCCCGTTAGAATTGTCTTAAGATCGATTGTTCATAGAAACCGCGTACTCTCTTCGCCATAGTAACTTCAGTCTTTGTTTTAAGTGTACGCAGATGGGGTTGTAAGTGATTGGGGAGTGAGATGCACAGAGGTCAAAAGTAGCTCGAAGCTCCCTCGAGCTCCTGCGACAGGCAAAGACAAAAAGCGGGAACCACCTGGTGGGGTTGAGACCGATGGCATCCATGCCAGCAGGAGCATTCACCCCTCGTGACAACATGCCTGGGTGGAGATTCTTATCGATAGGCTAATCTTCGGCGTCGCGGAGGTGGAGTCCCTGACACGGCCTCCATCACCGCGAATTTGCGCTTTCCGTCCACGTTCAGCTATTTCACAACATGCATAACACCCATCTGTCCTCACATGCTCAAAATCAACATCCATAACGCCGCATTCCCGACAGCTGTAGATTTTCGGCCCGACGCGTTCCTAGACAAGAATCGCGCGCCCCGGCGCTCACATCAACAGGATCATGGCGCCACCCACTGACGATTCCCCGGTCGCAGACGCGGCCCCGGCCCCGATCCTCTTCCGTGCAAACAAGAAGCGCAAAGCAGGCCTCCGCCAACGCGCCGTATCTCCCTCCGACGACAACGGGTGCGAAACCACCACACTAGCTGCGGCTTCCCCGTCCGCTGCTATAACGACGATAACGACATCAGCATCAGCTACAGAGACCGTCGCCGACGATGGCCCCGAATCACACATCCCCTCCGCCCTCCGCCACCGCGCCCGCAAACGTCTAAACGGCGTAGGCTTCTCCGCCCGAGGGTCCTCGGGCGTCCCCGCCGCCGCCGGAGACGACGCAGACCCACTGAGCCTCTCATCATCATCGCGCGCGCTGGTCCCCACGCCAGCACAAACTCCAGACGACGATCCCCTCATCGCAAAGCGCTTTGCACCGCAGACCGGCGCGGCGGCCACGACGATCGTCAACAAACACATGTATGTAAATCAACTCGTTTCAACTCCCGGGGACTTTCAATAGTCTAGTCTGCCGAACGGCCAGAGGCTGATCAAGCAAGGATGGAATACATAGAATCGCACCTCTCTAACCGCAACACCCCCCCTGCGCAACCACCACCAACATCCTCGGCATCATCATCAAACTCCCAACATAAAGACGCAACCCGCGCCGCGACGAATCCGTCAATAGCAACTGCCGCAGCCGCAGAAACACCCGACCCCAAAAACCACCCCATTATGCAGGGGAAACTCATGGAGGTCGACCTCGGCGACGAGGTTCGCGCCCGGAACCAAGCCATGACGGAAAAAGCCGCCCGCCGCCTCCTCGGCGAAGCCGTCGACGACGATCTCGGCACCAGCGGCCGTAGGGCCAAGAAGCCCCGCCTCGGAAGGGACGGCAAACCTTGGCGGCCTAGGAACCGGCGCAACAGCGACGACATCAAGCGCGACCAGCTCGTCGAGGAGATTTTGCGCGAAAACAGACGTAAGGCTTTTCCACCATAATCACCTCAAGCTGCGTATAAGCCCATACTAACCACATGAACCCATTCAGTTGACGTCTACGATGTGCCGAAACCCCAGGAACCTCAAAACGACGGCGACGGTAACGCAGATGACCGCATCGCCGAGGAGTTCCGGCGTGAGTTCATGGACGCCATGGTCCAGCGCCAGCAAAAGAAGAAGACGGCGGCGCCGGCGGCCCGTACCGGGATTCGCAAGGCCGATGAAGAGGTCCTCAAGGGTCCCAAGTTGGGAGGCAGTCGTAACGCTAGAGCTGCCATGCGCGATCTGCTCTTGAAGAAAGAGAAAGAGAAGGACTCGAGGAGATGATGAGCCACTTGATTCTTGTACACAAATAGCAACAAACGAATTTGAATGATACCCATGATAAGGACAGTGGACATAACTAAGCTTGATTCAAAATTCATGATTGGCATCTATAAACCAATAGAGTACTCCTAAAAACAGTTTGCCTATACCCACCCAAAGTTATCAATAAGTCAAAAGTAAGGTCATAACAACGTGCAAGCCGAGCCTTGATCCTGTAACCGTTTTCATATCCCATACTGTGCCCATAGCAGAAAGAATAAGAGATAGCCACACCTTTCCAAGACTGTCACAAGTCACTAGTCCCTATAATAATGTAAAGAATGTGGAGGAACCGGCTCGTGAAAAGCTCTGTCTAAGCTCTCGCGACTTTGCAACGCCGGGGTATTATCGATGCGGTGAATCCTCATGCCAAGCTTGATGCTGTATATGCGCATTGGCCCCATCCAAGACGCCGTGTGTGATTTCAAATGCAATTTGTGGGCCTCAGAGCTCGAAAATTTGTTCGTAATGTATGCATGACGATCGTTGAGAAAACATAATCACCGGATGTCAAGCTGGAAAGGCTTGAACCGGCCGCCGATTGTTGCGCAACGGGGGCATTTGCGGCGTGCCCCCTGCTCTGCCATAAGAACGTCGACACATGCCTGGCACAGACCGCAGATGCATTCCGTGCAGGCGTATGAGTCTTTGAGAAGTGAAACGCTCTGACAGGCTGCGCAGTAGATCTGGGTATTCTGAGAAGAATAACTTGGTGATGAATCCGATAGGCCTCGCGACTCGATATGAAAGTTCTCCCCGCTTTCACCGCTTTCAACCGAAGGAAATGGGTCAATTGTGTCCTGGCTGTAGGATGGCGGGGTCAAGGCCTGCTGCAGTGGCGAGGCTTGATAGCTCCCGCCAGCTGTTGCTGCTTGGAATCCATGGTGTTGAAATGGGGGCAAGGAAGCCCTGTGAATAGAAACTGGTGATTGGGGCATCTGGATAACGGTCAGAAAATGTGCCGCTGCCAGTGTCGTAGTGTTTCTTACTGGAGTCCTGTCCTCATCGATGTCGCCGGCAGCCGATGCAGCCTGGTCGGCGGCATCGATGAGATCTTCCCACCTCTTCCCATAGTCTGCAGAAGGTTCAGCCGATAACGCCTTACGGTCATTGTTACCTGGTCTAAGCCGTTCATCGTTCTGGATCCGCCGAAGCCAGTCTGCTGCCGAGCCGCGGGATTTCTGCTTTTTGTGGTGCGCCTCTCGTCCTCTCTTGCTGACGGACTGCTTCCTTGGTCGGGCAGGTCCCACAGGCCGCTGGATTGGGGGTAATGTTGAAGAGCGACCGGGGGGTGAATTTGCTAGGATTGACGGGAGTATATCCCGCGGTCGACTCGAGTTCATTGCTGGAAATGGTTCGCTAGTGATGTCGTTATTCGCCAAGTGCAAAGGAGGCAGCTCAATTGATGTTCTTGGAATGCGGCGTCCTTCAGTGTCTGAGTGCCACCCCTAGTTGCGCATGTTTGATTAGCACTCGTTCTAGAGGTTGTAAGTCGCTAGAGGAGATTTGAGCTTACCATTTCCTCCCACTCGGGTTCGACTTTGTGGCCATGCAGCTGAGCCAATGCCGCAGCGGCACTGGCGGCAGGGAGCATGGAACCGACGGCGTGATCGTCCATGGTCCGGGGCGTACCCGGGTTGCTGTTGTCGTACATGTGATGATCGTGATTGAAGCCTTGAAGATGGTCAATCTTTGGGGGATAGCCCTGGACTGAGAGGGACGAACCCTGAGGAACAGAAGTTGCGCTTGGCTGCATTGGTGGACGTTCGGACGGAGGGGTGTTGATCATGAGCAGAAAGCTTTCCTCGGTCGCTGGGAGCTTCGAAATGTAGTGTTCTGGATGGGCGCGGCGAATGTGCTCTTGCATGGAACGATATCGTTTTTCCTACAATTTCATCGGGTGTCAGAGTAGCTCTTATTTTTCTCTTAGTCGAGTGGGTTTTTTTGCTGTCGTAATCAAAGCTCCTTCTGTGCACTGGGTCCAAGTGAAGAGATGCAGCAGCGTATATGGGGGGGGCAGTGTCCTCTGCTTGTGGCAAAGAAGGCGTCGTGAGGGAGCAAAAGGGCAATGCAGCGCGACCAGACTTACACCGATGCATCTTTTCCTACAACTAGATCCATCCTGATTCCGCAGAGGACAGACGACCTCATTGTTGGAGTCGGTGATTGAAAAGGAAGACGTGAGAGAAGATCTGGGCGGCATCTTGACCCCACCATGCGCTTGAGGGCTGGTATCGATACTGAGCGGGGTGAGGAGCGATAAGTGCTGTTGTAGCGTATCGCGAAGCGAGGTCAATTGAAAGCGACTGGATGGGTTGGAGCTTGAGCATTTGACGGTTCGACGAAAGGCTGCAATATTCGGTGAGCAGGAGTCTGGAGCTCTGGAAGCTATCGTCTTGAGGCGTGTTACAAAGAGTGTTTCGAAGAACAAGGTGTAATGGAGGGGGAGGAAAGGACGGGGAGGAAGAGGAAGAGAAGGAACTTGATTTTGGGGGGCAGAAGGGAAGTTGACCGAAAGCAGTAAGTAGCGGTAATGGGGAAAAGAGAGGTACGGGCTAGGTAGGGGTGTGGCTCGGTCTGGTGGGTATCTAATGGGAGGTACCTTACCCAGGTCAGGTCCAGGTCAGGTCAGGACTAGCTACCTTGTCTTGCCTTGCTCACCCAGGTACATCATGGTCGCAGCCCAGTCACATAAGGCCAGGTATTACGCAGCATGATCCGTAGCCAGATGAGGGCCTGCTTACAAGGCTAGGTATACAGGAGGTACGGACGGATAATAGCAAGGTGTGTGAGCAAGGAAAGAGCTTGGTTGGATCTGGCAAATCCTCCCTCCACTTGCCTCTCTTTCACTCTCTCATACTCTTAAGAACTCAGTCGACGAAAGCATGGAAGACAAAACCAAAGCCGCCGACGAATACATGCTCCAATCTTTTCTACACATGCCGTGGGGAAGGTCTCGGCTACCTTGCTTTCCTCGTGCCGAAAGTGCTGCCATGATAATTGAGTTGCGCGCTCGTACCTTTTCTGTGCCTGGGCCTATGCTGCTTCTGGGCTCACTTTCTACGGATACAGCACACCTGAAGCAGATGTAATGAAAGATGCAGATGAAAAGGGATATAATCAGCCGCGAATAAGGAGACGGACGAGCGAGGGTGTGGCCGGGAGGCACCAGGGGCAAGGAAGTAGTCGTTTTGGGGAGCGACAGAGGTGAACAGCTGACAAGCTGTGAGGTAAGACTTGGTATTCGTCGCATGGTTAGGTGAACCTAAGTCCACCTCCTGGTTGGGCCCGTGGCAGACGGCGTCAATATCGTCGGTCGCAAGACCGTCAGCTACGAGCAATCAATATTTACTATTCGCTGCTGGTGGAAGAGCGCTGCCCTGCACTGTCCCGGCGGTCGGTACGGCGACGCGGTCGGTGTAAGTGACGGGCCAAGCAAAGGCTTTGAAGCTTTATCACCACCAGCTTCAGAAGGATCTAGTCGCCTTTGCCAGCTCGTCGCATGGCAGTGGCACGGCTGGTCGCCGAGGCCGGGCTTTCCATGACACCGAGCTGGGCTGTTCGACCTGGAAACAAGTCCGATGGACTAGACGTATTGCTCCAAGAGACGAGTAGCAAGATGTTTCCTCTCGAGTCAGTCATTCCGCCTCTTCTCTTTGTTGGATGAAAAGATTGCACCACGAGGTGCCTGACTTGTCTGAGAATGGCGGCGGCCATTACCAGTCGACGCCCGTGGGGCCACGAGCCTCTGCCTCTGCTTCCGCTTCCGCTGTTGCTTGAGATCCGGCATACCACAAAACGACACCAGCTTGGTGCTCATTCAAGGTGCAACCGGGCGACAGCGTCATCTTCCAATGGCAGGAGAGCAATCCGCAAGCTCGGGGGGTTCAGCAGTGGGATGCCTGGATAGCGAGCATTCCACTTGGGAAGCATAGTGTAGGGTGAGGGAAAAGACCTAGGGGAAAAAGTCGGCAAGTCGACCCGCCGACGATGTCGAGAGCCGACAATTGGTTGGCGTTGGTCGAAAAGATCAATGACTCGATCGGGGATCGAGTGTGTCTGGTGGATGGGATTGGCTTGGTTAACCCCAGGGTTAGAGGGAAGAGGGGCGTTAAAGAAGAAGGGGAAAACGAGGACGAGAGGACGAGAACGATGCAGGGGCGTGTATGCAGAGCTAGGCAAGATTCTATCGAGACAATCGGATGGACTTGCACAGCGGAGGAAGACGAGGAGGAGGATTGAGGAGGGTGACAGGGAATGCAGTCAAGCAGTTGACAACCTCGAGGAGCGGGGAGGGGCAAGAGGGAAAGGAGGGGGGGTGTGAGCAGGGCAGGGAGTGGGCTGCTTTGCCTTGCTCTTTCTTTTCGGAGCTTGCGAGTGGTTGAGAGAGGAAAGAGGCCCTTGCCGCAACACAGGGGAGCTCTTGAAAGTCGAGCAAGCAGGCAAGCTTGCCTGTCTGTCTCCTTCTTGCCCACGGCTAGCACCAGGAAGTAACTCGCAAAGTCTGTCACCAGTGACAAGGGACCTCGACCTTCCTTGACCTTTCCTCGCCTTGCCCCGCCCCACCCTTCGACTGACCGTTGTCAACTCGCTCCACGATCCGAACTTGGAAGCAAGTCCTGCTCCTGCCTTACCTTACTCGATGTGCTTTGTCGAAAGACGCTTCGTGCCTTTAAGCTCTGGTGCCGAGGCGAATGGCCTCTTGTTGCTCCTGTGTCTTGCGTCTCGCCTTGCTGCGGCGTGGTGGTTCTACTGCTTGGTTGCTTGCATCTGCGCATCTCACTTCTTCTCCTCGTTCTCATCCCGCAGCGTAGCGGAGCTGGAACCCTGGCTCATTCTCGCCTTCGCTTACTGGCCGGAGGTGGTCCTGACCTCGGTCAACGTCTGCCCCGCTGTTGGGATCCCCGCTGGTCGTCACGTTGACATCCCAGCCAACGGGTAGGGGCCCCAAGTAGGTAGTGTACCTACCTACCTTACTCATTAGCTACCTGGGCAATCAGACTCCAGAGATACGCTGTACCCGCAAGTGCGGATAGCATTGTGCGTGTACCTCTAAAGTGAAGCAAGGCTTTCTTGTGGCTCTTGTGAGCTCTCTCCCGTCGTCTCTTTCGCATAGCGAACAAATTGCAGCGCGCAGCCCAGCGTTGCTACACTATATCCTGACGCATGAACATACAAACTAGTGGCCGCTACTTGCTTGCTTCATTTGGTCAGCGCAAGAGCTAATTTTACTGCTTCACGGCAGCATTGCCGTGGCCAGATGAGGATGCCCAAACCAAATCTCCGGAATAAAAGCGATGAACGGCCCCTTCTACAAGGAGAGGCATGATCGGGGCTGCCGTTGGGCATTGGGAACGGGGACACGGGCCAGCGGAGGGCCAGCAGAGACAAGAGAGACACGAAGGAAAAGCAGAAAGACGAGCGAGGATGAGGTTGCTTCTGCCTCGTCGGGTCGGCATTAGGCAGCCCGAAGCACAAAGACACCGCCCAGATGCAGGGCCCTTGCCTTGCCTTGACAAGTTGAAAGCATTTTTGCAAAGGTGAACCCTGGAGCTGCAGCTAATCCGTGGTATCTGTAGCGTCTGCAGCGCCTCCAAAGCACGCATCGGTGGAGACCCTACCCCCGACCCGTGGACGTTGGCGCCGAATCGTCGTTCCATAAGGTAAGCGGAGAGCGAAGGCGGGTTTGACGGGGTGGGAATTGGGACAGAGCTGTGGAAGAGAGAGCAACAGAGGCGAAGACAATTGTACACCACGCACGAGGCACGCGTGGTGTGCGGCCCGCAAGATGAGGGTAGATGTGGATATCTGTAACGATGGGCCTTTTTTTTTTCTTCCCTTTTTTTCCCTTTCTTTCTGTAAGTAATATCTTCCCCTTGCCCTTTTCTGCGATGCAGCTCCAATGCCCCTCGCTACACTAGGATTACGCAAGGCCCCAGGAGCTCTTCAGCACGTCAACCTGCCTCTTCTATCCACAGCTACCTTGCGCCGCCATGCCTAGATGCTACGATGTTGCCGATTATCTGTCAAGCGAGAGAAGTAACCTTTTGCTCCTGCAGACGATACTCAACATGTACTTGGTGCTGGAGTGCCTTCTCCGTCGAGCTAGTACCTACCTCGCTCCTCCTTTGCTGTTTTTCTTTTCCTTCCGCCCCATGCCTTGGTGAGCAAAGCTGTTGCGCAGACAAGGGAGGTACGTATCGAAATGACCAGGGAAGGTCCCCACATTCCGCGCGAGGACCCTCCAGTTCTTCGCCTTGCATCCTCCCTCACCTCGACCTATCAACAATCGGCAGATTCTATTCAGCGACGAAAAGTTCATCGAAAGCGAGAAAAAATTTACTCCTACAGCCGGCCGACTGACTCCAGAATCCGATCTTGAGATCCGAGGGAAAAAAATTAACATGCAGCCTGAGCCGTTCCACTTTAGTCTTCCCTCGCCAAACCAGCCTCTTTGGAAAAAAGCACAAGCTGCCGAATGCAACCCGAAAACACGGCATTTCACCGAGGTGGCCTCTATTGAAAGAAGAGCTTCTTCCCGCCAGAGCCCCGAAGCCTTGTCCAGATGCCGCCCTCGCACCTCCATTTCTCTTGGCCTTTTTTCTTCCCTCGGGCCATGTGTCAGCTGACTCGAATAAGCCAGGCCAGATTACCAATGGCAGGCAGTATCCGTACGGGAAACAATCACGGATGGCTGATCAGCCCTGAGCAACTCTGAGCAACGACTGACAAGTTCGCAGCCACTTGCACCTTTCCCTCAAAACTCCCAGCTCTCGACCATGTTTTCCCCTGCCACACTCATTTTGCCACTTACACCCCTGGACCCTGACCGACTACTGGGCGGCTGGCACTTCGGAACCGCAGACAACACTCGCAGGTAAAGCGGGTATTGACACAGCCATACGCCCTCGAAGCACTAAAGTGACATCACCCTACTTTGCCTGGATCGTGCTTTCTTCTCGCCTTTGTATTCAATTATTTTCTTCAGAGTAGAAGAAACGATTGGCTCCTGAGGCTGCGGGACATGAATCTCGACTCGTCCGTGAATACGGATACAGAGTCATTCCATCGATTGATGCATAGGAATGGGTGTCATGCAAGCAGCATTTCGCTGTCCAAGGACACGGCAAGTCGAGACCCTCAAATCGGACCAAATCGGGGGCACCATCTCGTGATTACCCACGGAACGTTACACGAACACCTCCCCCCTAGACCACTGGCGGCTGCATCGCTCAAGTAGTGTGGTAGTCTAGGAGGTACTTGCTAGCCACAGTTCGAATGGTTTCACGAGTGCCGAAATGGCCCTGAAGGGAAACTACCACTGTCACCGAGAACAACGACATCCTCCTTGGCGCTGCTGAAAAGAAATGAAGTAAGCGGTGAATCAACCCCGCCTTTCTGCCCTTCTTTGCCGCCTGGCCGAAGTCAGAGAGGAACGGGCCTAATTACGAGTTGATGCCGCACCCAGCGGCCTGTCGCATTTTGGTGACAGTCACCGCCCGTACTTTCCAGTTCCTCCTGGCTGGTGCCGGAGAGAGGAAGGGGGAGGGTGCGGGGGATAAGGTCTTGGACGCGAGCTCATCCACTGATAAGAGAATACCAACCAACCAGGAGCGAAAGCAGGTAGCTATGACGATAAAGCTCTTCCAAAGTGATCCTACGCGACTTTACCAGAACCAGCAAAACCTACAGAATATCACCTGAAGCTTCATCTCCCCCTGTCATGTCGAGCCGATGCTGCTTGAAGGACTGTGGCCGCTCGAGAATTACAGTACCAATCTTCAGAGCCTTCACCAAGACTACTGATTGCAAGTAACTTGCTTTGGTAATACTCCCGGCAAAGACTTGTCTACCCAAATAACATGTTTACTTCGGGTGATTAGGAACCCACGCTAGTCTCTGGATACGGCGAGTTTGAGCGGGTCAGAGGTTTCTGCAGCCACTAAAGCCTGCCTCTGCCGTGCAACAAACTCGTAGTTCTCTAGCGGCTGACTGCTATTAGCAACATGGCGTGCCTGGTGGGGAGTCAGAGAACCCGAGACAAGTTCGAGAAGCACTCCTTTGGTGCCTGTCACATGCATGCCTGGTTTTTTCTCTAGGAATTTTTCTCTTTCGATTCTTTTCTCCTTACCACTAGTACGGAATCCTCGCTCAACCGTCCATTAACCTCCTGATCTGCCGCCTCGCTCCCTGCCTTCAGAGACATGGCGGTCAATCAAGAGTATGTCCAGTCGGAGACACCGACCGCTTCTGCGACTGCAGTCGCAACCTCGCAACGGCAACACTGCCACTGCCTTCCAAGCAAGTTCCAGGGATGACGACACTCGATTGCAAGACAGAGGAGCCCAGTCACCGTTGAATTGGACCACTTTGCTTCGTCAGCCTCCCGATGCACACGAGACACACACTTCAAATCGGCCTTTCCACACCTCCGACCCCCTATACAACTCATGTCCTCCGGTTCCTAAGGGACAGGATAGCCCCGACAGCATCAAAAGCCGAACCAGTTTCGGTGTGCACAGTTGCAGGAAGACCTCTAGACTCCATGATGTGGACGGCAGATGAACCACAGGCCCACCGCTCACCACGCTCTGTGAAGCCTTCCTGACTCGGCCTCTTGAAAACGGTTAAAACCCTGCTCTTGGATACCCCTCTGCCATGACCAGAAACAAGCCATGGCTTCTGCACCCACTTCTAGGGCAGGACGGCAACCTACTGACTCTTCTCTGCAGCTTCTAGTCAGAGTGGATGTTCCTTACTCACCGCTAGAGATAATTATTCACGTAGTCTGGACGACATCGGGTCAATCATCCCTTGCCTCCTAAGGGGTAGCCGGAACTGCTCCAGCCGCGACAGCCGGCTGTCAGTGCTGCATGAGGCGCAGAGATATGCCTAGGTCTCACCCATTGTTGGCATCTCTATTGTCTATGCACCCAAGTCGGCGGTCCGCTGCCATCTTTTCATCTGGCAAGTCGAATCGACTTGAAAAGCGTCCCAGGTCTCCTTTGCCCTGCGTCGTCCAAAGTTGTCCTCGCCCAATCAAAGCCCACTATCTCCTATATCCCAAACAGACTTGTCACAATTGCTCGTTGATCAACCCCTCGAGGCTCAGCGCACAGACCTTCGAGGCGGGCCTTTGCTGCCAAGAAGGCCTACAGAAACCCGACTGCTTCAACGAGTAACAATGGCTTTTGGACCAGTGGCATTTGGCAAGTCAAAGGGATGATTGGGAGCTCCTAGAGACGCTCCGCCTGATTAGGCCAGAGCGATGAAATTGTCTCTTCGGAAACTGCAAGGGCTGCACCTCCAGGTTTCCAAACCAAAAAATGGCACAGCCTCCAGAGTTTCAGCCCCCGACCCTGACCGAACTTGGCGACCTCCCTACGCAACTCGTAGCTGGCCATTCTCACATAGCGGTCGTTATGTCCTCATCGGCCGGCCCCCGGATGTCTGAGCACCTCGCGTTAACTTGCCCTTAGCCTATTGATCTGTTGAAGATCCGACCACAATGCTCTGACCTTCTCGCCAGCTTGAGTTCGCGGATTGCAAGATTAGCGTTACAAGGACCATATTTCTAATGTAGCTAAGGTAAAGTTTCCTGCAATCGCCTCGCGTTTCCCTGAAGGCCTTTTCCACGTCCGATCATTTACGGCAACGCATCCCCAGAGTTGCGTGCCGACGCGCCCCCAGACGTTGTCGTCGTTATGGAACATATCTAATTGATCTCTCTACTTATCTTCATCTTCTGTGTGCGGTACTTACCGGCAGACCATTGCTCATTAGCAATCTCTCCATCTTCAACGCGCCAAGTTGCAGTGTTATTCATTCTTCCTGTCTGGTATTGTGCTCTTCCAAGCCATGGCGTTGACCGTGAAGCAGCTCAACGCGGATGCTTCTTTTCTCCTCACGTTTGAGCCCATTGTGCCCGAGTCACTTCCTGGCATTACACCAAGGCCGTTCAGAATTTTGATGGATCCATGGATTACAGGGCCTTCCACTATATTTCATTCCATACTCTCAACCGCAACACATAAGGAGTGCCCTTGTGTGTGCTCTTTAGAACATCTCCCCGAACCCGACCTCGTCATCATCAGCCAGCACAAGAGTGACCACTGCAATAAGGCAACACTTCGACAGCTCCCCGCCAGCGGGACGCGAACCCTGATACTGGCGGAGCCGGCGGCGGCCAAGGTGATACGGAGCTGGAAATACTTTGACAAGGATAAGGTCTTTACGATACCGCGGTGGGAGGATTCGCAGACCACAGGGGAGCAACCCATCATCAGGGTAAAGGTGCCCCCGTTCTTCCCCGGTGGTGAGCCAGGTGAGGTATCGGTCGCGTTCATCCCGCAACGGAGAGACTTCAAAGGCCTGCATGCCGCCGTCGGCATCACATACCGACCGCCGGCAACATGGCCGAGATTCCCTCATCTCATGACGCCCCCGAGGACGCCAGTCTCGCTGCGGACTGCGGCCAGCGCCTCGACACCCCAGCTCGCATTGGGATCTCACCAAAAGACAAAGAACTCATCCGCCTACCTCAGCCTGCCGACGCCCCCAGAGACACCAAGCAGCCGGTCCCTGCGTTCCGTCCGTTCCGCCGCATCAATCTGCCCGGATGTCCGTGGTCGAGCTGTCTCCGTCATCTTTTCGCCCCATGGCATATCTTACCGCTGCCTGGAGAAGTACGCCAACACGCATCTCAAGGCCGAGGCCGCCCTGCCTCTGACTGCTCTATTGCACTGCTTCGACACCGTGTCGAACCCGTGGTGGCTCGGTGGGAACATTTCGGCGGGCATGCCGGCGGGTCAGGAGACTGCGGCCGCCCTCGGCGCGAAGGCCTGGGTCAGCACGCACGACGGTGACAAGGATGTCAAGGGGCTGGTGACGAAGATGCTGAGGACGAAAAAGTACACCTCAAAGCAAATTGCCACCCCTGCTTATTCTTTTTCTTCCAACGGGAAGCGCGGCGACAGGCTGGACCGCGAGAGGGCCAGCGACCAGGACAAGAGAGACAAGGCGAAGAGGGCCAAGAGCACAGAGGTGTTGGTTCTTGGCGTCGGCGAGGAGGTTGCGATGACGAGGGAAGGCGTTTGGAATGTTGAGTCTGGGGCAAGGGTGCTCTCCTCGTCGTCGTCGTCAAAGAGTCTTTCCGAAGTCGGAAAGGGGTTGAAGGGGCGGGCGAGAGGACGGGGCTTGCCGCCGGTTGATACCACGGCTAAATATGGGCCCCGCTGAAGACATCGAGCGGAGAGGTTTCCTATCTTGCCAGGTCAAACCTAGCATGTTTTCCAGCGATACGTTTGTTGGAGCTAAGGAGATTTCCTCTTGGCTTGTCATATGGGGAAAGCTAAGCGGGACGAAAGAAAGGAGATACCCGTCTTGGAAATATAATATCATAACCAATATAATAAAGACTTAGTAATTATGTGTGAATAGGAGAGAAGTAATCAGTACAAAAAATACATTTGGCCCTTTCAAAGAATTCCCTTCCTATAGCTGCTATAACAACACGGTGTATTTGATTCCCACTGCCATGAGTTTTTTGTGAGTTTTGTGCACGTGAGAACCAGATTCGCAGGGCCTCTCCATAGACTGACTGAGGAGCTTTAGGTGTTGGAAAAGATGTGAATTAGGGAAGGGCAGTTATTTTGACCTATTGTGTTCTAGAGATTAAGCATGCCCCGCCCTCTCTCGACAGTCTGTCTCAAAAGACAGTGCTCTCCTTGAGTAGATAGATACACACTTGATGGAACATGAAAATCTTTAGACGTGAAGAATCAGTTACAAAGACAAAACATGTCTGTCCGTCAAATGACCCGTCCGACAAGGAAAAAAACTTAGTCAGTAAGAAGATACAGTCTTGCTGCGATATTGCAATGTAAGAAGCGCCAAGTGTTTGCAAGACCAGGAAAGAATTGGTCCCTACTATGGCTCAGAAACAATAAAACGCCCGTCGAGCTAGCCTTCCAACAGTGGCAGTTGCTGACGAAGTCGTCGAGCATGACATCTACCTTGTCTCTACATCTATGGTAAAGGTAGTGGTGGAAGATGGAAAGGAAAGTGCGAACAAGCCTGTTCTACTGTTGTCAACTCTACAGGATTAGCCCGTCATCTCGCCTCGTGCTCTGTCCTTGAGCAGACACTGATGAGTACAAGGACGGTTAAGCGTGACGTTTAGTGTCTTTGGGATGTTAAATTGTGCTCTTCGGGAAAAGTGGGAAGCGAAACGCAAAAGGGCCCATTCTTCTATGCGAACTCTACAAGATGAGGTTTTTACTACGTATCACGCTCTCTCTATAAGTAAACTGTGATGAACATGGCGACAACTAGGCGTCATGTATGGTAGCTAACCATGGTTGAAACATGAAAGTTTGCCTATTGGAAAAGCTTAAACGAGAATCACACACAGCTTGTTCTGTTGTGTGAATTCTGCAAGCTACGTCCATTATGCTCTCTCTGTATATAGACTCCATCAAACGTATTTCTAAACTTCGGTCACCAGTCGCCCTAATCCCAAAGAGTTTTCACATAAGCTGAGTTGTCGTCAGTTTGCTGCTCTCCATGACGGCCATTCACCGTGCAATGCCCGATATTTTGCTTGGGGCACTGAGTTGCTTTCAAATCTCAGAGGATAACCCCATCATGCATTTCAAACACTATGAGTCCACCCCTTGTGAGTAGGGTGCCAATCCAAACCATAGACATCTCCATTACCTGCACCCATTCACCCGGGGTATCTAAAGTTCCAACCTGAACGACGCATCTCTTCTTTTCTCTTCTCTCAAATCATGGAGAGACATGCAGCATCCCTCAGCACCTCCTTTCTAGTCCATCCTTGCCTGCTGACTGTTCAGGAGGCCATCCTCCAACCTGGACGCAAATCGAATCTTGGCCATCTCAGACTCGGCCGTTTCAGGCTCAGGCTCCTAGGGTCTTACAATCCACTCCTAAATTTCCTTCTGTCAGACCTACTTGAGCTGCTTAAGAATCTCGGTCAAGAAATCTTCGAAGCTGAGAGTGATATAGCCGTCTCTGTCGTCATCATACTTCTTGAAAACGTCCGTCATGCGCTTCAAGGAAATGCAAGCCTGGACGAAAAGATCGAAAGACATGACGCCTTCTCCACGCTTGTCGTACGTCCGGAAGAGAAGCTCGACGAAACCAGGGCTGAGACGGTAGCGGAAAGCCACGAGGGCATTGGTGAACTCGCCGAGGGATATGTTTCCGGATCTGTCGGCGTCGAATCGGTCAAATAGAGTGCGCCACGACGCAAGGAAGGACCAGAGTCCGCAAAATTCGGCAAATCCAATGGTACCACTGCGATCGGAATCGAACATGCGGATCATCATGCGAACTGTCTGGGGATCGAAAGCAGTCCAATCACCGTTGACAAGGGCGGTCGACAGCTCACGTTCGGAGAGCTGGCCAGTACCTGTAGACAACAATCAGTGCGTATTCCTTGCAAGAGAGTAGTAGCACCGTCGCTTACCATCCTTATCGACAGCTCGGAACAGGGGTAAAAGCGTCGGGTCAGCGCCGTCTGCACTCATATCGGGAGCGGGTGACGGAGGCGGCCGGGAGTTGGGGGGTGGGCGGTGGTGGGCGGTCGGGCGGGGGTTGCCCGTCGGGGGAGGAGAGCTGACGCCGTACATGTTGGGGCTAGGTCGGCGGTGGTCGTTCCGAGGATCCGGGCGATGGAAGTCGTCACGAGGAACGGGTGGCGGAGGCTTGCTCTCGTAGCGAGGCTGGGAAGGCTGCTGGGAAGGTGCCGGGGCAGCGCCACCCTTCTATGATGGGAATGTTAATTTATCTGGGAACGCAAAATCCAGGGTTGAAGGGTGCCGATGGGGTGAATAAGGTAGTGATGCGTCAGGTGACCGGAGGCCGAGGGCGCAAACGTACCTGTTCGGGTTCCGCAAACCTAGGAGAGGGTTAGCATGGCGGGGTAGACTGACTGGGTGTTTAGGCGATGGACAATGGTGAAAGACGTGTTGTGCAACGTACCTTGGGAGTTCGTCGGGGTTGTAGGGTCTGTTGTACGCCATTGCGAAATTTGGTGCGGTTAGGAGCAAACAAATGATCAAGAGGGGGGAAAGAAGGGTCTTTTTGTTGGAGGGGACTGGATCGAGGCTCCTGGGCTATATGAAGCTGGCGAGGTGGGGGGGATTACTGTGGGCAGAGCAGAGCAGAGCAGAGGGGAGCCGCAGTAGCTGTATGTAAAGCCAAGAGAGAATGGAACCTGGAAGCAAGCAGAAACAGGGGAGCGGAACCACGACTCAACGTCAGGCGGCAGTCGGCACGCTAGTCAAGAGGTAGGACTGGGTGGCCGGTGGGTTAGGCTGCCGCGGAGGCAATAAAATGCCAATCGGGCTTCAAGGTCAGCGGAAAGAATGCAGAGAGTGGTTTCAGCCGCACGCCGAATGTGAATTGAGGCTTGGGCTGAGGGTGCTTTCTGGTGTCTAGTTGCGGTCGTAGATTGAATTAAGGGTGGTGGTGGTATGTAAGGCAAGGCTTTCTTCCTCAGTAGAGGGGAGATATGCGATAACAGGTCGCGGAGATGACGAAGAGGGGGGATTATTAGCTGGCCTTAGAAAACAAGACAGACAGCTGGGGGCAGCTCTCGGCAAACGGACGACCGAGCAGCTTCTTTGGGGGTGCGTGGGATGGCACGGGCGGCGATTTGCAGGGAAACAGTGTTGGAAGAAGCCGAAGCCTCGGTGTGTATGAGTCGGCGCCCGGGTCGAGACACGAAACAGATTAAGAGAAAAGGTTGCAAGGCGCAGCTGCGCTGGATACATTAGATATGAAGGAAAGGGGAAAAAGAGAGAGAGAGAGACACCACAAGCCAGCGGGATTGCGGGAGAAGGGATGAACAGGCGATGGTTTGCAGTCAGCCTCTCGAGTGGATGTCTGCCAGATTGCTCTCTGGGGAGGCAGGCTAAAAACAGAACAAGGGCCAATTGATTCTCTGCTCGCTTTTGGATTCTGACGACTTTCTCACTTTCCTATCCCAGGCACCGGGGATGGTACACTAGAGTCCAGAGGAACCCGGGACGGGGGGGGCGCCTGTCTACTTCTTTCCAATTCGGGTTCCAGGTTCTCTCTTCTTTCGTCATCTCTGGATTTTCCCCCAGCAGTTTGCCATTCATTCAATCGTCAGTCCCACCAATGTCAGTCAGTACCCAGCTCGGTTTCGTGGCCCCGCCACGCTCGCCGCTGTTCCTGGTTCCGCCGTCGGGTGGGTTTGAACCAATGCCGCACCGGTGGGGCAGGGGAGGGGGAATGCGAGCTATCGATTGAGAAAGGCAGACAGGACGGGGAGAATACCTAGGTATTGCAATCGCAGACAACCTTAATGTTGAATGTTTAACAACAACAGATACGGATACAGCCCAAAGCAGACGAGTCAGTCCGTCTAAATCCCGTCAGTAAATCGCCCACGAGCCGTAAAAAGGGGTCTTGCGCACTTTGTTTCCAACCAAGAGCCTCGGGTTTTTTCGCTTCCATGTCTCCCAATCATTGCAGTCGCTGTACTTGCCTTACCTACCTTAGCGTGAGGGGTGTGTGTGCGCGCTGGACAGAGGTCGCTCCATAATAGAGGTTTGATATACCTCCGTATTTGAATTAAATAATAGTACCCTTGATACTTACTGCTTACGCATATAAAAAAAAAATAGAATATACCTTAATATAATATTAATATTGACTTGACAGTAAATACCTTACACGCCTTCCTCTCTTTGAAAGGCCCACTAAGGTATGCTAGCAGAGCAGCCTTCTTTAGTTAGAGGTGCTGATCCAACAGAGATCGCATAGGTTAATGGAAGTCCAGTATTAATCACCTAAATTAGAGAGTAAACTAAGGGTTCTCTTATATCCGTATTAACTACCTATTAATACAACAAGAAGCCAGACTGCCAGCTGAGGGACCCCACAGGGACATATCCCCTCTAAGTAGCAGCCCAACAGAGCTCTGTCCAGCGCACCCCCCTCCCGGGACCTACCTGAAGGAGCCTCGGGAATGGACGTTGGAGTCTTGGACCCTGCGTTAGAGCGGTACGTATCCACATAACTGACAGCAGTGACGCTTAACTCATACAACTCCCGCACACCACACCCCGAGTCCTCGACACCACTGGGCCGGGCGGCATGTCATCCATCTGAGATGAGCTGGTTGTCGTATCCCTATTTAAGCTTATTTCACCATGGCTCTTTCAGTCGCCAACACCTGAGACGATCTGGCCAGTTGGCAGCTGCGCGTGGTGTCCCTCTCACCTTCCCTATAAATAGCATCTTGCAACCTTACCTTAAAGTCTTGAAGTTGTGCTCTTCGCATGTGGGCAATTGAGCCTCTCTCCCGTCCTCCCCGGCTGAGGCCCTGTTCGATTCATCGTGTAAGCGTCACGGTCTACAATCAGCCCGTACCACCCTAACATATTTCCCAATTTTCCACCTTGCCCCTTTCCCCCTTCCAGTCTGCCCTGTCTGCCCCACCACAGCCCCGGCACCAACGCGCCCCTCCCCAGAACGCCGAGCCTCCAGCACGGGACGCCGGCAAGCGGGATTGCGTATGCTTTCCAGCTTTTTTGCAGATTCGCGGCCATCAACTCGACCTGTCCGTCTGCCTCGAATACTCGGAGCGAATCCTTCTCTCTCCCTGTCTCTCGTTCCCCGCCTCCCCGTCCTAAATTGTATGTACCATGATCCCCTTCTCTTCAAGACCTCGCCCGGAACACTTCACCCTACCTTAGCCCGCCACTCTGACTTTTCCGCCAGGCCCGTTTTAGACCCTCAAATCCCCTCCCCTTCTAGAACACTTCCAATTCCTCCTCCTCTTCCTCCTCCTCTTTCTCTTTCTCTACCTTTATCTCTACCTCCTCACTCTATCCCCCCTCAAGTCTTGTCTGTCCTGTCCTGTCCCGTCCTTTTCGTCTACCTATTTCCAACATGTGTACGCGCGGCTTCCTGTGGTCCTCTCACACGACTCCCGCCTCGGCCTTTGCGATTTGCCGCTTTCGGGTGCCACCGACGGCTCTCACAACGTTCGGTCCTCTCCCAGCTAGGCAAGTGCCCTGGGAGATCGATCCAAGCTGGATCGCCGAGCTGCCTCTGCCGCTGCTTTTTTGGTGTCGTGTGCAGGCCCCGACACTAGATACACCGGACCAGGACTGATTTGCTCGGAATTTCTTCAGGTTTTGGCATCGTCAATGCCATTTGTAACACAGTTCTCTAGTTCTTCGCCTGGAACCCACGTTGAGCAGCAGCAGCTGGGCTGTCACTTCTCATATCCCGTCTCTTCGCCTCCCTCGCGTGGCACATCGTCCCAGACAGACTGCAAGTCTACGACAACCGGCATGGCCGACTCCAACCTCTCCACCAACGGCAGCGGCGAGTTCTGGCTGTACGGTTATGGGTATGTTTTCGACCCGTCGAGATCACCCTCGATCCCTGCCACTCTGCCTCTTGGGCTGCTCCTGTCCTCCAGCTCCTCCCGCCTTCCCGCGTACATCCCTGCCGTAGACAAGCCTCACACACGTCGGTGCTGACTTCGCAAACCTGGTCCTCCAGGAGTCTGATATGGAAGCCTCCGCCGCACTTCGGTTAGCCTCACCTCGTCCACACACCCCTTTCTCCCCTCTTCTTTCTTCCCCTTGCCGCCATCCGAGCCGCCGGCTGATCTGTGTCGTCCGTCCCCACAGATAGAAGAATCCCTGGTTGGGTGACGGGATATGTCCGTCGCTTCTGGCAAGTTCGTCTCTCCCTTCCCTCCCCCGGGTGTGCCGTCTCATCCAGTCCTGCGGGATATAAGGCCACCTTGCGTCCCTAGTGCCCGCTGCCACCAATGCTTATTTACACTTCATGTCTTGCCTCCGTCTCGTCTCCACTGGTCTCACTGACAATTCACACAGGCAAGGTAATCGTCTTACCCTCAAAGGCTTCACATAGTGCCATCCTCTGCTTGTCATCTCGAGACTCTCTAAATCCTTCACCAGTGAAGATCACAGGGGTACGCCCGAGGCTCCCGGCCGCGTTGTCACTCTCATTGAACGTTCATTCTGGGAGCAACTAACCGACCATCACGACTCCGCACCCGAACGCGTCTGGGGTGTCGCCTACCGTATCAAGGCCGACAAGGTCGCCGAGGTCAAGGATTATCTTGACATTCGCGAGATCAACGGCTATACGATTCACTACGCCCCTTTCTACCCAGCTGATAGCTCCGAGCCAATACGCACACTCGTGTACATTGGTACCCCGGACAACGACCAGTTCGTTGGCCCACAGGATCCTCAGGCTCTCGCCGCCCTTATTCACAAGAGCCGCGGCCCGAGTGGGCTAAACATCGACTACCTTCTAGGCCTTGAGGAAGCTCTTAACGGACTGAGCCCAGAGAGTGGCGACGTCCACATCACCGACCTCTCCAACCGGGTACGGGCCATCATCGCCGCCGCGGTGATATCGCACGACGCTACCTCGGCCCAACCACACCTGTCTGCTGTCGGCGGTAACTTCAAGCAAGAAACCAGTGTCAAGGAACAGGGGGAGACAGAAAAGACAGACTGAAGAGATTTCTGCACATTCTTTTGCCTCTTCTTTGGAAACAAGCGCCCCTCCCTCAAACCCTCCCCCCCCCCCCTCCACCCCCCCCCCTCCTTCACCCTCCACCCCTTCCTCATCCTCCGTACCCCCCCGCCCCCCCCCCCCCCCCCCCCCCCCCCCCCCCCCCCCCCCCCTTTTTTTTTAAATTCTTGCCCTTTTGCCCCTGGTGCAACAACGCCTTAGAGCCATGTCAACCAACATTCTGTTTCAAAACATACAGCACATAGAGACATTCGCGCAGACAAGTAGCATTAGACCACATATCTGTTGGCTCCCACGACAATTCCGATAACACTCTGCATCATTCCCAGACACCAGTAACCCACACACCCCAGAATCACCGGAATAGGAACCGTCTCCGCATGCGGAAGAAACCAAAACTTGGTAGCAACCATTTTAGGGCAACAAGATGAAGGTCAAAGACAGAAGCAGAAAACCATTCCATTTGAGAAGACTAGGCCGTTACCAACCCTTTGACCGCGGGTTGGGGTTTTATTTTCCAGAGATCCAGTGCAACAGAAGAACCGGGTATTGTGTTGCAGCGAAGAATATCACCAAAGCTCGATCGAACCAACGGGCGCGCACACGAACGTCTGTCAGACTCGGAGGAGTAATGTGGGCAACAAACCTTGGCCGCATGCTCCCCAGTTGCGAATACCGACAACAAGCGGGCAACGAATCTCCGAATTCCAGCGAGCACTAATAGCCTCGGCCGCCCTGGGGCTGCTGAGACGGGTCCGCATAGCCGTAGGGAGGCTGGGGTGCGTAGCCATCTATGAAGTGTCAGCGAGACGGACCGACGATGGGAAGCGACATTCTCAACTTACCCTGGGGAGGGGCACCGCCGTAGGGTTGCTGAGGGGGGTAGCCGCGGCCGTAGGCGGGCTGCTGCTGCTGGTAGCCCATGTTGGGAACTCCATATCCACCGGGAGCGCCTCCGTAGGGAACAGGAGGGGCGCCGTAGCCGCCACGTCCACCGCCGAAACCGCCGCGGAAGCCACCCCCACCACGGGGGCCGTTGTCGGAAGCCTTGTCGACGCGGATAGTGCGTCCATCAAATCTAGCAAGTCGATGTGTTAGCCGACCGAGGGACTTCCACCATCATTGCGCCGGGACAAGCAAGCAATGGAAAGCATTTTGGCAAAGGCAGCGTACTCGACGTTGTTCATGGCAGCAATGGCCTTCTGAGCGTCACCATCCTGAGTGTAGCGGACGAAGCCGAAACCACGGCTGCGGCCAGTGTCGCGGTCCTTCACAACGACCTTCAAGGAGGGAAAAAATTGCGGTCAGATCTCTTTCTCGCTCTCTCCTTTTTTACTGTAATAGTGGGACAAAGTGTCTCTCCATGGTCCATGGCGACGCCACTCTCAAGAAAGTTTCTTCGGACCGGACAATCAGTACTTACAGCTTCCTCGACGGCACCGAACTCCTCGAACTTCTGTCTGAGGGTGCCTTCCTCAGTGTGCCATGCCAGGCCGCTATTGAAAGTCTTGTCAGCAAAAAAATGTGTTTGGCATCGTCAAAGGACGTCAAGGATGCGCCGGTGCAGAAAAGAACCTACCCAATGAAGAGCTTAGACATGATGATAGTAGGGTTTTTTGGTATTGGTTTTTGCAAAGAGCTTGGTGAATTATCTGGTTCTTGCGAGTTAGGTTTTCTCTGACAAAAAGGTTCAAGGGAGGCTGCAATGCATAAATGCAAGTGGTTTCTGGGTGGCGCCAAGCGGGGTTTCTTGATGATGAGGGAAGAAAGTCAAGGGACGAAAGCGCTCGTTTTGGCACTTCTCAGTTGAGCAGGCGAGTCAACTCTGGGAAATTCGCATCCACCTGTGCAGCAAAGAGACGAAACAGTGTTATAAGGGGGCCTTTGTCACTCGAACCTGGCGCGCAAAGTGGCCCGACACAGGCGACAAAGCAAAACGTACAATTTCCAGGCCGGAGGATGGCAGTGCGAGATGGAGGGTTAATGGGGTTGTGGGCTGTGTCTAACAAAGAAATTCGCAGGCGTTGCCACAGAAAAAAGATGCCGAGCGTTGGAAAAGGCCGAGGTGTACGTTGTGTTGAGAGAGAGAGAGGGAGAGAGAGTGATTGAGAGAAGCGAGATACGGACCTGGTGGTTGGAATTAGGTGGGCGGTGTTGGTGGGAGTGGTTGACGGACGTCAGGATTGAGACTGTTTGATGGATCGAAAAAAGGAAGGAGGGGGTGAGAAGGAGAAGAGGTCGAGAGGCCACCTTGAGGGGAGAGAAAGGAAATGCTGGTTAGCGGGAAATTTCTGAATGGATGGAGGAAGGGCGTTGAGGCAGTGCAAAAAAGGGCCCCAAGGCAAGGCAGGTAAGGTTTGGTGTGTATGAGTGTGGGAGTGGGAGTGGAAGGCAAGTTGACTGGACAGGAGTGCCGTAAGGCAAGGTAGGCGGGGTGGGTTGAGCAAAGGACTTGGACGGAAAGGTCAGGCAGGTACAGCAAGAGGCAAGGTAGGAGCGGAACGGGGGTGACGGGGAAGGGGAGGAGGGGCGGCACTGTTGCCTCTTGCTTCCTGCTTCTTTTGCTTGAGGTGTGCAGTTCAGCTCCCATTTGCGGCTTGCCGTCGCTGGTCCCAGCCTCAATTGTCCGTCCTCTTCCGCGCTGTCGCCGCCGCCGGCTGTCTTGCTTGGATTGGGACTGGAGGGCGCCGTGCGGGCAAGATGCGAGATGGACAACAGCTCGTGGCGGGAACGTGGAGGGGTCCAGCGAGTCGGGGCAAGTGGAGGAGGGGGGGGGGTTTCAATTGACCGACGAGCAACAGGACGAATGACGGCATGCAAGGTACCTCTCCTCGCTAATGAGTATAGCCAGGTACAAAATAACCGCCAAGGTTAGTTCTCGGCCTGAGGCGACAGGAAAGAGTAAAAATTAAAACAAAAATAAAAATAACAGTGCAATGGGAACAAGCAAAACGAAAACCTGAGGTATTCTTTCGTACACCAAGAAAGATAGCGGTACGGATACTCAAACAAATAATTGAATACAAACGTCAAGTGAAGGGGTGCACATACCTACCTTATGTTGGTTTGTTCTTTGGACCAACTATTTCTTACCGAATTCTTTTGATGCAGTTGAAATATGTTGAGAAAGAATCGAGGACTTGGAGGAAAAGTAGCAATAACCCCAAAGTGATGAAAATGGCATACATAATGCGGAAAAAAAAAAAGCCGCTAGGAATCTTTTTCTCCTTCTCAATCAATCAGACCAAGTAAGTACCGGATCCCTGACGATAAGGTAGTAGCAGTAGGTAAGGGGAAAGGGAAGGGGGGCGGAGGTTCAATAGGGACAGGTGCAGGTCGCTGTCGGAATCGAATAATCGCGCTTTTCTTTGTCTCTTCTCGTTCTTTTTCCTGTGGTCTTCGATTTCCCCCCCTCCATCCCGATTCTCAAGCGTGTCCCTGTTCCTCATCTTACTGTGTATATGTGATGGACACGAGGTCCGCCACAACGGCTTGAACGGCTCCGGCGGCGGCGGCGAAAACGAAAACAGGGACCAGAAGCACACCTGGCCGGCCAAGACAGCGGCATTCTAGTACATGCAATACCAGATGGGAGTAAGAATGAGAGCATGAGAACATGACTTAGGTTGCCTGCGGTGAAGGCACGTAGGTACTGTACCTTGCCTCATCCTGAGAGGCACATGCGTCCATCTTGCAGGCCCGCTGGCTTCCTGGTTCATTGCCGCCGCCGCTGCTGTTGCTGTTGCTGTTGCTGTTGCTGCTGGCACACGAGGCAAGGGGCCAAGACATCTGGGAGATCTGCCCGGGAAGAGGGACCCATGAAAATCCACCCATGAACATCTAGTGCAGTGTCAAGGGGAGGGGGGGTCCTAAAGAGGGGACCGCCCACATCCCAAATTCGGCTTTTCTGCGCAAGGGGGGTTGAGGAAGGGAAAAGGGCCCAACGCCCATCAATGTTTCGACCAGAGCATGAGTGTGGTAGCAGGGTTAGCTCCCCCTCCCAAACAAGCATCAAACAGACGAAAAGCTCACATGTACAACCCCGCGATACCTCTGTCACCCATGGTCATCTCTTTTTTCTTGCCGCGAGCCGTGCAGTCCAGACGCGGCGCCCTTCTCATCCAGCGAGTCTGAATCAGTCGGATGCCTTAGAAACACCATACGAAGATCCGAACAGCAGCCCTTCGAATTTCATGCTGTCGTCGGCGCCGCGAGGTGCTGCTGTCGTCGGCGCCGCGAGGTGCTGCTGTCGCGGCCTGGTGTCGTAGATGTTTTCGCGTTTCGTGGCCCTTCAAGTTAGACAACGCACGACGAGACGCACGCACTTACGCACTCGACCTCCAGGCAACTGCTCCTTGGAGGCGTATTTCCCACTCTGCGAGCTTTCGTCGCAGGGCCCTACCCCGTCAACAATATCACCACCACCAGGAGTAACGGCTTGTCGCCCGATACACGCTCCGAAGCCAAGTACCCAGACATTGAGCAAATCCACTGCTGCCCGTCCGTCGAAACTCGAAACTACGGCTCATCATGCTGCCCAATGTGCTCACTTTTATGCGGTCGACCTGACTAACCAAGCGCCTGCAAGTGTGGTGGGATGAGATGCAGAGACCAGGACCACGGAAAGCTTCTTAGAACCCATGAACCCAGCTATTGCAGGGTTGGCAGGCAAAAAAGCTCACTACCTGATCGAAGGCGGGCAAATCAGCCCATGATGTGCTATGTAGCTGCCCCTTGTTGTAGTCAGTCAAAAGACTCGCATCCGCACAGACGCCTGCGCTGCTAGCCTCTGAGAAGCCGCTAGATAGATGGTGAATGAGTACTCCGTAGTGTAGAAGCTGGCAATGCCGAAGAGGGGCGCCGCGAGAGGTGGTGAGCCCGTCAGCCTGAGAGTACCTACCTAGGTTGAGAAGGAAGAAGGAGGAGACGAGCCAAGGTGGGATCCAGACTCCAGAAACAGATTGGCATCTGTGTCTGCCATGGGCCCACGGCTGCTGGTTTATGCTGGAAACACCTGCGCGGGACGACAGGCTTGGCCTGTTCACTTGTGGACGCACCGGACCAAGAGTGGCAGTCCTATTCGACCCCACACTTTGCACAGCCTCCTTTGACCATGCCCAGTTTGAAGCAAGATGAACATCTTGGAGCTGCGACATCATTCTCCAACGTCCACCTTCTCCTGAAAGTGGGGTCTACTAGTGTAGCACCTCACTGCACTTGCAGAGCCTGCAGAACCGGTTCTCGACTCGGCTTGCATTCCAGATGTGCGGCCTGACGGGCTCTGGGAGGCGGCCAACTCTGACTGATGCTAGAATGTCTATCCTCATCCGTTTGGTAATCTCGTCCAGCCGCCATATTGCGACATTCGCCGTTCACGTGCCGCCGCCGCCGTCCTTGCTCGTCCTTGGCGCAATCGTTTATCCGTTTGCTGGCATGGTCGTGCCACGCCGCTGGAGAGTCTGGACAACTTCCATCGCCATCTCACTCGCCAAAACCGCCCGTGGGTGGTGTCGGTCCGTACTCTGTAGTCCGTCCCTGGCTTGTCGTCCAATGCGCTCCAGTGTTCCAGCCATTTCCTCTTGTGAGTCTTGTCATGCTACCCTCGTCAACCCGTTCTGACGTGATCTTGACCTAGATGCTTGTTTTCCATGCGCAAAGACGTGACCAAGCAGCTTCCCAAGACGAGAGTTCCTTTGCCGGCATTAACTACTCATGCGACGCGACATGCGAAGCAGTACGTCTTGGGAGAGCCCTAGGGCCGCAGCGAACTAGAAGTCGGTAAGCAACCTCTGTTGTCGCGCAGAATCGCTCCATGCAGTCGTCCCCTTGGAGCTCCACTCCCCGCGAGGCACTGACCAGCGAGAGGCCCATGAGCAGCCTCTGCGATGTGGGTGAAGTCGTGAAGTTGTGAACTAAACCTCTCAGAGTGGATGTATCTTGTGGTCCAAGTTGTCCATGCTAGTGGAGCTGGTCGATCCAGTGGAGACGTGGATAGCCCTCACCCTCACCCCTCTGTCGTATCGTCAACTTGGTTCGGCTATGACAGCCCCTCCCCCAAGCTACGCACGTCGCGCAAACAACCCCTCGGCTGTCCTCGACCTAGAGACTTTCGGTACATCTGATATTACCTATCCGCCCGACAATTGCCCGCTTCGTATGACGCGACATCGAAAGCCTATATTGGATAGCCCTGAGCCAGCAGCCCAGCGCAACGACGGCCAAAAGCAATATCCCTTGGCGAAGTCGAGCTCTGCGGCAGTAGCGCTTGAATACCAGGCTGTATTCCATCACCAGGATATAGCAGCGCCATCTTGGAACAGCTTCAATACAACTGTATGATGTGACGCAATGATGTGTCAACGGCTAGAGCACCGCATCGGTAGGGACTAAGGTGGTGGAACCTTTAACCTCCTTACCCTTGGAAGTATAGCCGCCGTGATGTGTCGCATGGGCCAGCGATTATGGGGGCCTTGCATTCGAGATGGAGGGGCAACTTGGCCTCCGGAATGCCACCAGCAGGAAACCTCATGCACATGTCCCGCGATCCAGCCAGGAATACCAAGACTTAGAGATGGCTCCACGGTCTGGCACCGTCTTCACATACTACCTAGTTGCTGCTCCAATGGTGGGTTTTTGGCTTTCGCAAGTCGAATATAGGTAGGTGGTCGACGAATGTTGTGCACAAGCTCGATGCAGGCAGGGCTGGCGGTATGAAAGAGAACGAACGGGCTTGTTCTCTGGGGATCCCAGGAACATTCGAAACTGCCAGGGACCGTCTATTAGGTCGTCACCGGACGAAGATGAAACTTGCTGCGCCTTCATCGAGGTCCACAGCCTGATTTCTTGGCCGCAAAAGCAAAGAGCTCATTGGGGCCACCGTTGTTATCGACACATGTTGAGATAACGCATCTCGACGTCTATCTCAAAAAGGTGTGTACCAGCAAAGTGTAGATGCTGTAAATATGTTGTATACGAATATGCAATACGGATTATTTGGCCATTATGAGGAATAGGAGGAGGGCAGAGATGTTGAGATACTGCTGCGAAATGACCCGTCCAGGGGGGGCTCTTGTAGACACGTGCGTCGTCACGGACGATGCAACCCTGTAAAATGTCTTTTGGGCTGATCTCAATTACTACTTTCTTCCAGCTGCGTGCGGAATCTTAGCTCTCCAGCTCCTCAACCATTCAACGCTTTCGCCGAGAAGCTCTCAAAGAGGTTTTTTTTTTTTTTTTTTTTTTTTTTTTGTCTCCGTGCAACCCTGAGACAACGGTATAGCTGTTGTCAGACCTTTTCTCCGCATCTTTTCAAAGTCATGTGATAAATGTAGGTTATAGGCTTTGGCCGCCCTATCTGCATTCAAGTGATGTGGATTTGTTGGTGGGCTAGGCGTGGAAACCGTGCGAGCTCGGATTTGGCATTTTTCGCGGCTATGGGCAAAAATAGTCTGCAAGTTCAGCTGTCAAGCATCTGTCAGGACGGGTCGCGTCCGGTACGGCTTCGCCATAGCCAAGGTGGTGCTATCAATAGTAGTCGGCCGGGTTTTCGATACAGGACGTGTTCCGTCTATACAGGGCCACATCTTGGCATTTTGAGACAGCCGCAACTTTGAGGTTCGCGTCGACTGCATATCAAGTGCGCCGACCTGCAAAGTCTAGCTATCGTCTGACCCAAATTTTCAAGGTACATTGGGTCCCTGCCTGGTTTACCTTACACAGCAATACTAGCGCCTGATACCAGGCAACCTGTTCCCACCTTAGGCAGGCAGGTAAGGTACCTACCTGGGTGGGAACATCAGTCGAGCTCTTTCCGGCTTTAAAACGAGCTCCACCCTTGCCTTCTACCTGCCTTAATCCAGCGAGCAGCGCTTTCTTCACTGCTAAACAGCAATCCATGGAGAAAGTGTTGGTGAAATCAGAATAAGAAGAAGGAACACTATCCTAAGAAACAGAACGTTGGTCTGTATGACGTGGATAGCTATTGTCGTCTTTAGGCGAGGTCGGGCCCCTAGGGTACATAAGAGGTTCTTCTCCTAGACATATTTGGCGTCTGGCTCAAGTTCCGAGGCTGGATGTATTGGGACTATACGTGCCCACCACAGTCTTCTGCGTTGTGTTCCCTTTAATTGTCAGTCTTTGCCATCTTAGCTACCGTTGCCAAGCTGGACAGGCGCGAAAACAGCGTACGATGGACCGTCGTCCGACCAAGGATCACCGTGGTCTAGACCTACATCGCCATCATTTCCGCCGCTCTGGCGACAGACACACTGCATCAAGTCAACCCCGCCGGGAAGAATTAAGGACAAGTCGTTTTCACTCGGGAAAGTCGAATCAGCCTCCGAAAAGCAACGTGCTTGGAGCTGCTAGAAGTGGCACTGGCATTGTGGAAGACTGGCTTGTCAATGTTAGTCGTCGAGGCGTAGATACTGTAGAGCCTGCAAACAGATCACAACCAAGTCAGGGCGAGGACAGTCCGCAAGCCTCAGGATGGAGACCACACGGTATATCCTTCCAGAGAGTTGCTCGAGGCGATCACAAGCGCGACCTGTCGCGAGACAGCTCCATTATCGCCGAACCAATGAAGAGGAAAGACAGGCTGCCAACGGCGGTAATACATGGCCCCATTCAACGTTCCCCAACGGTACGGCTCAGATCGAACGAAGTCCTCGTCTTTTCAGGTAGTCCTCCACCTAGATTCGAGAAGCGGGCGAGGTACAAAACAAGAGAAGATCGTTACGACTCTCGGAAGAAGCCTAAAGAGAAGCGACAAAGGACCCGTGAGGAGACCACTACGCGGCCGGAAAACTCGCCCAAGAAGACCACCTCCTCCGGTCGAGAGGGCCCAAATAATTTCCAATCTGAGGCCATTCTCAATAACAGACTCACAGTAAGTAATCAGTAGGGACCAGGGTCTATGTATGTTGATGAATTTGTAGCTACAACCATGCCTGACGCCAGGCCTCTTCCAGAATGGGCGCATATCCTCGCCAAAGCCTGGTGAGCTATCATTTTCTATGAGCTGAGAATGCAAAACTAATGCGTAGTAGTTGAAGAGTTGGCGTACAACTCCATGATCTCGGTTGAGCAGCCTCCATCACGCAAGTCCTCATGGCAACGACAACAACGCTTAGAAGCCAAGGGCAGACAACGGCGAGAGAGTGAATTTGTAGGAATATCAGCGTTCCTTCGTCGCAAGGAGACGCCTACAGCAACTCATTCGGACCAGGGACTAGGGCTACATCGTGCCCGCTACGAGGACCGTGAATTGAGCGATCGATTACCAGAAAAGCTCCTGGTGTGTGAAGATCACTTCTCAAGGAGAAGTATTACGAGGTCCGATTCTATAAGCGATGGCCAACGCCAACATATCCATGACGAGACCTATGTCGCACCGGCTCGACACATTCGATCAAGCAGTAGATCTACGACTTACGTGACTCAGAACACCAGTGGCAATCATCAAATATCCTTGCCAGGCGACATTCTTGGCCGTCACCATAGTAGTACCCCTGAGCTGATGAGAGAAGCGCTTCGGGAGACCGGTGTATTCGACGGAGCTAGAAAAGGTGGGAATGCTCGTGTCTCGTCGCATGATTCGCGTCAACGGAGGCAAGGGTTGCATCTTGAAGAAGAAGAGAAGCACAAGACAGCCAAAGCCTTCCGGGAGCAGCCGAGGATCATTCTATATTCGGACAAGGGAGTCATGACCACACACGAACCATCACTGTCACCTCGCGTGTTGGAGAATTCCACGAATCTGGCAGATGCACAAGATACTTTTGAGCCAGAGAGGAAGAGAAGGTTGAGGGCGGGTGGCTCGGTAGATTCAACCACACAAAAAGCCACGGATGAACCGTCTGGTGGAAGGATACACAATGACTCTGATACAGAGTCTCGCTCCAAGACTACCACTCTGACGACCCGAGCAGCTACGGCTGCGCAAGCGTGTTTGGCACCACACCCCAATGAACTATCCACAGAAATGGAAGTAACGCCAGGGAATACCCAGGAAGTACGAAAGATGATACTAATGACCGACGAAGCTTCCATGGTAATGACTGAAAAAGACGGAATACGTGTGGCGGATGGCCCCGAGCCGGAACGTGTGGCAACGGTCGAGCAACATGACAAGAATGCGGTGCCAGAATTGTCTGCCATACCTGCAATACCTTACCGGCGAAATATATACGCCCAAAATCACCAACCTCCGCATAGAGAGAAAGCGAATCTTCGTTGCGCTTTTCCAGAAAGAGAAGCTTCTAGTAACGATCTTCATGATCATCCATACAGCAAGGTCAGTCACAGGGAAGAAGCCTTCTGGGAGCCACCGATGTTTTCGCGACTGATATCTCTGGCAAACCAACCAAGGAAGCCTTACCCTCTGTCTCATTTCCGAACAAACGGTCATGATTCTATGAATAGTTTTCATCCGTCTCAATTCCAACCGTCGGAAAGCATAACCGACTTTATCGCCCGCATTGAACAAGAGGTATTGGGAATAGGGAGCTCAGGATGCGAGGACAAGCCTTTCGATGAACCTGGCATTCAGCAGCACGACGATCGACTCCAACTGCCTTTCGACATGGCCAGAGGGCCTTATCGTCCGGTATCTCAGGATGTTTTGATCGACCAGTCTTTTACAAAAGCTGATTGGCGGCACCCAGAAGACGCATTTGACCCCTTAGCAGAGCAGCCTTCTGAGATCGAATTTTATGGTGAACGACCCAATTACGAGAACGACTATCGGCAACAGCAGAAGGTTACACAGCTGGACCAGGACGAAGAGGACGAAAAGGACGAAATGCGCGCCTTCTGGCGGCCTAACTACTTTTGTTAGCGACGCATTCTATTCAGGCTGCTGGTCCTTCCATTTCGCCCAGAGGTTAGCCACGTCGATATCACATCTCTCTGCCCTCACGATTATTGCATTTGCCTTTCCTGTTACCGGTGCGTCGATCATCATACCGTCCAACGTCCAAGCTCCACGGCCCGCCTTGCTAGCTTTCTCGTCTGCGATTGCAACGCGCACTGCCCACTCCACTTCCTTTTCGCTAGGGGCAAAAAGTTTCTGGACAAGTCCCACCTGATTCGGGTGTATGCACTGCTTTCCATTGAATCCCATGGACCTTCCCCCGATAGATTCCTCTTCCAATCGCTTGTGGCCTTCATCCCCCTTGTAGGAGGTGCAGACAAGGTCGATCGCACTCGGCAAGCCGGCGGCCTTGGCAGCAGTTACGATGGCGGAGCGTGCGTAGAGGAACTCGGTGAGAGATGGCGTTCTTGTAAGAGACAAGTCTAGCGCAAAGTCTTCGGCCGCAAAGATGAGCCCGCTGAGGTATGGAGACGCTTTGCAGATTTCTGAAAGGTTCATAACCGAACGAGCAGACTCGATCAAGGCGATAATTTTGATGGGATTTTGGGATGTTGCCGTGTGTCTTTCGGGGGCTACGTGACGCAAAACATCGGTAACGTAAGTCAGATCGGCAGCGGAGTTGACTTTGGGAACAACGACAGCATCGATATTTGGGAGTGAGCCTAAAGACGTCAAGTCATCCAAGGCAAACTTGGTTTCCACTGCATTGATTCGGACAGCCAGTTCGGAGATGGAAGACGGCCGCGAGATATGCTTGGAGAGGAATGAACGTAGCTGTCGTCGAGCGTCCGATTTCAACGAGGGAGTCACGGAGTCCTCAAGATCATAAGTCACGTTGTCGGACTTGAGACCCAACGACTTGGTCAGCATCTTTTCCGATGATGAAGGCACTGGACGCTTGTCAGTCAATCTCTAGGCGGAGTTGCAGAGGCTTTCATTACCATAAAGCAACGCTCGGCGGACGATTGAAGAGGACCTTGCCGCCATGATGGATAGACTGCCGGACGCAATGCTACACGTTGGGATTGTGTAAGCCGTAGCCTATCACTCTTGAATTGATTAAAACTTAGTTGAAGCAATGAAGGAAAGCTTATTATGATGAAGGCAATTGATAAGTACAAATAAAACCAGGCGTAGCTCTTGAATCACTGGCGCTGGCAGCTCGTCGTCACTTCATGTACGGACGACACCCGGTAACTCGACTTCGGAACGACTAGATCGAGTCGGCTATTTGGATGTTGCTTTAATGGAGCTGGGGTGATGCTGATGATGTAATGCGAGCTCTGATCAGGAGCTGTCGTTTCTGCCGGGTTAGACCGCCGAAGTACCCCTGGGCACCGGGAGCGCAAAGAGTGGGTCTCCTGCACCAACGACCCCCTGGCGGAATAATTCAGCCTCCACCCGCCGAACAGCTTACCGTAGCTTCAACGGGTCTGGGCCAAGGAACGCGCCTAGGAGGGCAGGCCTGCGGTCCGCGCATTACGACAGCTGTACCGTAATGAGTCTCAGGGCCTCTTTTCGAACAAGTATCCCTCGTTTCCCCGACTGCCATTAGAACCACGATATGCGCACGACTACGAAGACCAAGTCAAGCTCCTGATTGCGTCGATCTATTGTATCCATCGGCTGGAAACGAAACAGAGCAATTGAACTTTTCGAAGAAACGATACCTTACCTAGTGTGACGGGCCACCGAAACGAGCGTCTTAGTCGCCCCGAGATGGATTCCTCGCACCAACAGCAGCAAGATGCGCCGGGCTCCCTGAGCTGGCGGTTGAGCTCGCATCCCATCACACTTTTAACATTTCTTGCATTTCGGATATGTCAGTCAATCACCAAGATCTCGCATTGCCTTAACATCTTTCATATGTACTGGAACTTAGACTGACATGCTCTCGGGAGGACAGCAAGTGTACTCGTGTACTTCCTCGGTCTGTGGATCATTCGAAGCATGTATGTCTTCGCAAAGCTCACTTACTCCTCGAAATTCGAAATTCGAAATAAACTCGTCCTCCAAACACCACCGCCTCCGGAGCTGTTTCCTGATCCGCAGACATGCACCGGACCAGGTGCTCACGTGCCCACGGCTCTTCGCTGCATACCTTCGTTGTCTTCCGTTTGCTAACCACCTCTCGCCGATGCTTTACAGGATTATGATCTTCATCATCACCATCCTCCTCCTCGCCGCCGACTTTTACTACCTCAAGAACATTGCCGGCCGTCGACTCGTGGGACTGCGGTGGTGGAACGAGGTGGACGTGCAGACGGGCGACTCGCAGTGGGTCTTTGAGAGCAGCGAGCCGGGAACCAAGACGATCAACCCGACCGACAGCCGCTTCTTCTGGCTCGCGCTCTATGTGCAGCCCGTTCTCTGGATTCTGCTCGCCATCTTTGCGCTTGTGAGATTGCAGTTCCTGTGGCTGCCGCTCGTTGGTGAGTTTGCCCCCTCCCCCTGCCTGACCCCCACATCCCTTGGGATGAGGGGGTTCTTTGGAGGCAACATTTAGATACTGAGGCAATTTGTACTTACTATGGTGGGTCCGCAGTCATCGCCCTGGTCTTGACCATTATGAACGCCATGGCCTTTTCGAGATGCGACAAGTTTAGCCACGCGTCCAACTTGGCTGGAAGCGCCCTATACTCTGGCGGTCTGGCGGGGAGCATCGCGAGCGGCATGGTCGGCCGCCTTTTCAACCGCGGTTAAGTTACATAGCAACCGACGTTGGACTGCTCGGATCGGCCAAGAGCATGCCATGGGGGTGTTTGGAACAAGAGCTTGTCCATACTATCACGAGAGGGTTCTCACTCGATAGAGAGGACAAGCTGCGTGTAGGTCCTGCTGCAAGTGGTATCATCAAAACAGCACAAAAGTGAAGAGGTAGAGGAGGGAGACCAACAAAACCAAAACCGAAAAAGAAAGAAAAAAGAGCACAGCAATTTCGCCGCAAGGCCGGACGCAAGTGGTGAGTTTGTGATATTGCTATACCCAAACTGTACATTAGACATGTAAGCATGACTCAGAAGGTTTCAAATGATCAAGGCATTTTCTGTTCAGAAAGGGGCATTGTGTGTACTGTAATGATTCTAGATTCCGCACGGGTTACGTCAATGTCTCCTTATAATAGCTAATGAGTTACTCTGTGGTCTCTCCCTCTATGCCGATGGCAATGGGCCACGGGATTTCATGACCAGGCTCAGGGGCGCAGTCAGTCAGTTTTAGTAATCATGGAGGCTGAACAGGTCCAAGGCTGGGCTTCAAAATGTCGAACTTTGCGTTCTACCTCCGGGCAAGTGTCTCTTTAAGTCATCCATATGATAAGATAACCTCTGGTCTCTTTTAGTGGCGGTGAGGAGGCCCCTCTTCATCTTTGATCTTGGGTGACAAGTTGCCCAGGACTCGTGACAGGACATCCAAACGGGCGAAAGAAGATTCATGTCTGGCAGCTTCAGTGAAGGCGACGTACATGGAGGATTTGACAACAAACTTGGAGATCGCAACAGTGTTCTCATCCACCCCTTCTACCGCAAGAACCCATTCTAACGACAACTACTTTGGCACCTTTCATCGCTCCTCCTTCTGCGTTCTTTACGCCTGACAGGGGGATACCGACAAGTCTCCCCGCAACTCCATAACGACAAACGGACCAAAACACTTGTGACGAGCCCAGCGAGCTCAGGATTATCAAAGTCGTCACATGATTTTACAGCCAAAAACAATATGCAACAAAAATGTGCAATACATATATATAAAAGGTATCAACGATTGTGGGTTACCAACACGAAATCCCTACGGCTTCCGACGCGGCCCGGCCTGCTCAATCGCCGCGTCCAACGCCCTCTCTTCCTCCTCCAGCCTCCGGATCTCGTCCTCCGTCATACCGTCCTCAATCAGATGCGCGACGTTGGAGTTGACGTTGGGCGTCGAGGAGCGCGGACCGCCGCCGCCACTGCGGGTCATGTCCTCGGCGGATCGCGAGGCCATGGACGTGTGCTCCTCGCTGTACGGCGCAAAGGGACGCTGGTGGTGTTCCGTGGCGCTAACGGCCGAGGCGGGGACCGCGCCGCCTGCCTCAAGGGCGTCATCGCGACCATGATCGTCTTGATGGAATTCCCGCGCGAGGTGGTGCTGTTCCTGGGGTTGCTGCGGCTGGTGAAAGCGATGCTGGTGCTGTCCGTCGTCAGTGTATGGGGAGCGCGGCGATTCGGTCACGCGGGCATGGGTCTCTTTGTCGGCGAGGTACCCGTGGGGGTTGTGTCCGGGGCCGTACACGCCGTCCGAGACGTGGTCTGCGCGGCGGCGGCGACGGCGCAGGAGGAACCACAACAGGAATGCAATGAGGGCGAGCCCGAGCACGGTGCCGATAACGATGCCGGCGATGGCACCGGGCGCAAGGCCTCCGCTCCCTCCGCTACCGCTGCTGCTACTGGAACCGCCGCTGATGGTTGTTTGCGATGCATTTGGGTTGAGAGAGGCCGTAGAGGTGGCTGTTGCCTGAATGACGGACGTTGGCAGCGTTGACGTCGAGTCACTCTCATCTTCACTGCCAGAAGCCTCGGTGGCACTGCTACCGCGTTTGTCCGCGAGTCTTCCGACTGTCTGGTTGTACTCTTCAGATGGATAGGCTCCCGTGAAGACGGCGAAAGCCCCACTCGTCGTCGTGCCGGATTTGGTTTCCGATATCCACTGAAGCTCAATATACATAGTATAGTTCGCATAGATTGACATCTCCTGAGCATTGATCGGCATGACAAGATTATCGTTATTGAGGGTCACTAATTTTTTATGGGAAGTCAGCAGCTGAAACGGAGAAAAGAACAACGCTAGCGACGCTGGAAGGCAATCCACGAATCTGCAAGCGGAGTTTACTCACTTGCATTGGACTCTTGACGCCTTACACCAGAAGCCGCCGCTGTTGGTAAGGCCCCCGCAAAGGTCGTCATCCCAGAGCCTACTCCCGGATTCTCCTGGCTTGCGGATACCGTCGAAATGACCGTTTCATTCCCGCTTGTTGATTTTGCTTTCCAAGTAGCTTTGCTGAGCTGGACGCCGTCGGCAAGCTTGAACCTGATGGTGTGAGTTGCACTGTCTACCGTGATGACGTATGATCCGTCGCCGTGCGAGCTAAAAGAAGTGGTGTTGAACATGACTTTTCTCTGTTCTGGGCCCGTGGTTGACCTCGTTGGATCCATCAATGTGGTCGTCCATCCAGCACCACTTGAAGCATCGCCCTCAAAGGCCACGTTGCCGTTCTCGCCGCCATTGTTGATGACGATGCGTACCGTCTCGGAGGTGTCTCCGTGGCTTAACTGGACCGGCGCCGGATTTGACATATTGTAATATCTCTCGTCCTTCTTGGCAATCTATATGTTGTGCAAGTGGTGTTCTTGACGATGATTGTATTGCTTGACTTGGTCGCTCTCGGCTGTATGTGATGGTGCCTTATTCTCGAATCCAGTTGTACCCACTCTCTCTGTTGAATCGGCGAAATGTTCAAAATCCACCTAAACTTTAGAATCCTAAGCCCCCTTCTCGTCGAAGGAGAATACCGGCACTTCGCAAAGCGTCGAAATGATATGAAGTGAAGCAAGAACTGAACCGAATCCGAGAAACGAAGTAAGCAGGAATGGGAAAAATGAAAGGCCAGGCTGAGAGGCGGGAAAGCGAGAGCAGAAAGCCAACCAGGCGTGTAAGAGGGGAGAAGCAATGAGACAAGTTGGTACTGGGTAGGACAGTGGCAGATGCAGCAGCACCCTGGGGCTGACCAGGATCAATAAGACGGGCGCCTTTCGTTGGCCAGGGTTCGGCCGGCTTGCTGCTGACGGGGGTTAAGGGGCTTGGGCTTTTGGGCGCGCGCGTTACCGAGAAAAAGCGTTGTTGGACATCCGGCCGGTCGACCTATTGTCAAGGTTCGCGAGATTCTTCGCTTCGCTTCCTAGCCTTTGCAGTTTAGTCGTCTCCCGGTGCAGGGATTCCGAGATCTGCGCTACGCCAACTACAGCAAGCCACGCGCCAAGGCAGCGCCGCTCAAAGAAATGAGAGAGGAAGGATTCGCGGCTGGTCGATGGTCAGATTGACAATATGAATACCGTTCGTCGCCTTTCCGTTGGACCACTTATGACAGGATATTTGCACTGAGGCGCTGTAAATTCCGTCGCGAGGCAGCTTTGTTGCTGGTTGAGGCTGAGTCTCGAGTGTTTTGTGTTAGTCAGACTGTCTACAGGTAAGTAGTGAAGACGAAGACGGTAATAGGTTGCGGGGGTTGTTTTCTCGTCTTTGAACGAAGACTTTGTTGGAAACAACTTAAGTCTTGACAGCATCCGTAGAAGGATACGACCTGGGACCGAGTGCCTTCCAAACGGGTGGGTCTACCTATCCAACAAGCACCTCGACGCAGGGCCAAGCGTCCCTCTCATCATGCTCTCACCTCCTCTCCCTTTGGAAGATCAGCCTACCTATCATACTTGGTCATTTTTTTGAAAACCCCACCCACCATCCCAATATTAGCACAATGGATTGGTGAGATGTTATACTGCAGCAGCAACAACTGCTGAATGCAATCACTAAGGTACGCTGCTCCGCCACCAGCTTGTCTCAATGCTCAACGTCACCCTCTAAGGAGAACGGAGAGGGGTTCAGGCGGCTCATAAGCACTCTGCAGTCTTACCAATGGACAGTCAGTTCCAGCTCTTCCATGATCAAACGAATTTCCGTCGACGTTTTGCGCCTCGAGGTCATCAGTGTGCATCTGCCTGAAGGACAAGAGGAGAGCAACAGAGAGGGAGAGATGGCGAGAAGCAGAGAGGGAGAGGGAGGTCGTGCGTGGTAAGGCTGTATAAAAGCGGGTCCAACTTCCAACGCTAAACCCTGGAGAGCCACCCAAACTCCAGCCCCAGCCCCACCGTCAGCAAATGAGCACCATCCAATGGAACGCGGCGGAGCCAACAGACCTGATGCTATTAATTGAAACAAAAAAAGAAGAGGCGCCGCCCCCCTGCAGACATACTGCACCGCTAGACGTTGGTTCTCCAACTCACAACCCGCCTCATCCAAAGACGGCCGAGACGGATGACCCTTACCGTTTGATAGAAACCGCCAACGGACTAGCACTACTTTACGCTACCAGGCCACCTGCTAGTGCCGCTGCGGCTGATGTGAGCTTTTCCCAACGCGCGTTAGGCGTTGGATGCTCACCGGGGCGATGCCCACCTCGACACGAATCCTTCTTCCGCCGCCGGCTGAACTCCGCATTTTGCAAGTTGCCGTTGTCGACCGTTTTCTCTCACTTTTCAATATACTCCACCTCCCGGCCAGGCTCCCTTATCAACGGGTGATGGCATGGGACTATGTATGCCGTGGACCTGTTCATTTAACAGCACAAGCTTCCCCTTCAAGCATTCGTTCCCCTGCTCGAACACCGCCCCATCGCACGGCCATTCGTCACTTTCAAGCCCCCGAGGCTTCCTTCAGATGTTGTGCCGTGGACAAAACCCATCCCATTTCAACACAGAGAAATGTCATCTGTTCCGAGAGCATGCTTCATCCAGTACAGACGAAAAAGCTCGTGAACAAAACGAGAAGAAGGGACGGAACCCAACTTTCCTCTCCATGCCATCCCATGTCCCGAAAATACAATTACCCTCTTCCCCACCCGCTACGTCGCATCGCTTCCACACCCTCTTCTCTGCTGTCTGCCGATCCAATCCAACCACACCGGCCGGGCTCTGCCAAATTCCCCTCCATGCAACCCTTTCCCGAAGCTCCACCCCGTGCGCGCATGCGCATGTAAGCCAACGCCCAACGACGACGAAACATGCGCGTCCTGAAGAAGGGCGGGGAGATATCCCACTCACCGAATGAGCGTTTCGCCGGCGCGTGTTCGCAACTCTGCAAGTAAGTCAAAAGATTCTGCTGCGGTCTTTCCCGTGAATGTCATTTGCTCGAGGTCATCCGTAGGAGCCCTTGCAATGCCAAACGCCCCTGCACGCGCGCGTGGAGACGGTGAGACGGTGAGACGGATAATGGGGACTCTCATCAGGGAAGAATTCATGAGGCGTAGCAGTTGGACCGTCATCTCTGTCACTTCCTTTCCGTATTCATGCTCTGACGCCCACTTTCTCATCACTATGCACCTGTCTAGAGGCCCACGTGATCCAGATTTGTAGATAGATTGCCATGAGACGTCGTCCAGCCAGCCTGGCCTATAGTCCGAGAAAGAGCCTGTTTAGCTATTATCTTGTTGGAAACACCGAGACTGAACCACCGCACTGACTAAGCTACTTTGGCACCTCCATGTCCGGAAGACTTTTCCACGAGTCTCCCAGTTCACGACATTAGGCAAACTTATCAAACATTGTTGCCAGCTTTCCGTTTCTGACATCAATTGTGCAGACGTTTCCCCAATACGCAAGTACTACTTGAAATTTCAGAGACATAGTCTCTCTTGTTGTATTACTTTGAACGTCCTTGCAGACGAAATTATGTACTTGAACGGTCAGTCTACGGCTTGGTAGTGTAGAAACCCAAAACGCTACCCAAGAACCAACAGCATCACCCGGTCGCACAGAACACCGTGATTGTGAACATGCTTTGTTAGGACTTCCCAATCTGAAAGCAAACTTTTGCTCAGGTAGGGAGATGAACTGCAGCAGTATCGTAAGGTAGTTCCTATTCGCTTCAAAAAAAAAAAAAAACCATGCGCCACCAAGCCATGCAAGCTCGTCACCCCCACACTATGCAAAAGTCATCTGGATCTCCTTCTCTTTGCCAAAATCGTCATCGTCATCAACGTCCGCCCAGGGGTTTGATGCCCCCATATTGGGCACCGTCTGCGCCGACTTCATCTCCGGCCGTGAAGGTGGAGGAGGATCGTCTTTTGGCGGCGGCCGCGGGGCGGGCGGCGGGTCGTGGAAGGAAGTGTCAAACGTCATCTCGACCTCCTCCTCGAGTGGAGACTGCGCCGAATGGTACGGCGATACGGCTCTCTGCGTCGGTGGGAACGTCTGGCTCCCATGGAACGTCGGCGTCCTCTCCGGCGTGTACGAGTATGAGCCCGTCGTTTCGTATGAAGCCCGGCCCGGCACTGCGTACGCGCTCTTAGTCTCGCGCAGACTGTCTCGTGGGTTGAGCGATGAGTTTGAAGAATTCAGGTCGAGCCTCATTGGCGGAAGCGTAGATTTGAGCTCCTTTACTTGGAACTCCTCGGGCTCCTGTTGTGTTGTTGAAGTCTTCTCCTTTGCGACTTCGGCTCGAATGGCCTCCACGTCAAACAGCACACCGTGGTTGTTACCCTCCTTATCTTCTGTCCTCGGGTTCGGCTTGTTTCCATCCTTCGCGGAGTCTTCGTAAATCTCCCATTTCTCCTTGTCTGCCTTCTTTCCTCGTCCAAAGATTGAAAACCGGCTTTTCTTCTTTTGCCCCTCCCTTTCAAGCTCCTTACGAGCCTCCTCGATTTCATTGATGAGTTCCCGTTGACGCTCCTGGTGATTGTCGGGGTCGGCATCTTCGATTTCAGTGAACTCGTCACTCTCTACGAGCCATCCGCATTCTCGGAGGAGACGTGGCATAGCCTGACGGTACTCCATGTGACCCTTGACGAACTCTGTCACGTCGAAGTTCTCAATCCATGGTAGATCCTCGATGGGAGCCAGGCCAGCCACCTTACGAGGGCCACCGCCGGTTAGACGGAACAGGTAAGCGAGGATCCAGTCGTTGCTACTGTATCCGTTGACAAATCTTCCTGGGACAACCGTGCGGGCTCTGAGGTATTCGTCCTTCTTGATGATCAGGGGAGAACCGAACAAGTAGACGTTCTGAACCAGGCCATAAGCCCCCTTTCTCGCCAGCTCCAAAAGACAAGAGAAAATCACTCGTGAACCGAGCGAATATCCAACAAGCGTAATTGGGCGGGTTCCCAGGTTCCTGTCGATCAAAGAGTCTGCCAAAATTAGGCCTGCAGACCACGCCCTGTCTTGTGATACACTCCACGGGTTATCGATCAGGTACGCCAGCTTGGTCAAGACAACAGGTAAGGAAAGTGCAGCCATCAGACTGGTCAGAATTGTGCTTGCCAGGACTTGTTGGAGACCTTGTGTCAGGGCCTAAGGAAAGGTTAGTGAGAATGAGAAAAGAGGTTAGAAGTGGCGACGACAGACCTCCGTAGCGAGGATGTTGATGGTGTCACCCATACTCCTAAGCATTTCCGGTTCCCAGTAGACGGAGTACAAGTCGCCCATAATGGGATCCACGGTGCTGAATGGCAGACGGACGTCGTCCACTTTACCCGTCATCCATCCGGCCACCGTGACAACCAGATGCACTCGCTTGTTGTTGTGCAATGGCCGATACTCGAATGTCTTCACAGCTCCCGTTCTCCTGTTGGCGGCTCGGCCACCGATAACGCTCCCGGATGCCGCGGCACTGGATGTGATAATGGCAGCTCCGCCGACTCCTCCGAGGAAGGTGGAAGTGCCCGTCACTCCAATCGTTGTGAAGCCAGCTGCCAAGCCTGCACCAATGACGGGAGCGAGGAGACCTGCTGAGAGGCCGATGACCAGGCCACCACCCACGGTAGCCAGACCCATCATCATGTAGCGCTTCTTGAGAGCTTGTTTCCTTCGGTGCTCCATATGCTCGTCCTCGTTCCAATTTTCCTGTTCCGCGGCCTGCTGCATCTCCAACGCGTCCGTCACCTTCTTTTCAAACTTTCTGACATCAAGCCAGTCGATTTGAAGACTCTTGCCGACCCGCTCTAAAAGAATTCTTGATCTGCAATCGTACACCGAATCGGCAATCAAAAGTAGGAACAGGTCACACAGCACAGTCCATCGTAGGTCGATGTCGATTTTGTCAGAGGTAACCATCTGGGCTGGAGTTTTGACAGGGGGGAGCTCCTCTCCCTCGTGCGCTTCGTATGGCGGTGGCGCCTCCGCTGCTTTCTCATGTTGAGAAAGTGCGGGCGAGGGGGGCGGTAAGCTCCTCGGTGATGTGACGGAATGAGAGCTACGCGATTCTCCATCGTCCTCGGCCATGGGGTTCTTGACACGAGCGTTAGCCATCAAAATCGGCGTTAGGTCCGACGGTACTACGCCATGGTCGCTAAGTTGTTCAACCATGATCTGCTCGGCGGAGCTGATGTCCATGTGGGTGTATAGCCGGATCATCATCTTCTGGCCCCACATCTTGGTCGCTTCGGCAGACATTGTGACGTCCTTCTTCGCACTCCTTGTGTGTTCGACGCTCTCGGCTTCCTTGACCATGTTATGAACCTCCAGTCTCGTCAGCCCCACGTATGCAATCCTCTGCCCTTCAGTCAACAGGTCCTTGGTCGCCTGCATCTGAGAGACAGCATCGCGAGCCTCGCTATCGTCCTCGCCGATGCTCGTGCCATTCACTTCTTTGAAGAGGTATTGGGTATTGTCATCCATACTCGTTGCTGATTCGGCATCATCGTCCATAATTACTCGGGTATATCCTTTTCCAGCACCCCCGAGTCCGCCGTAGCCGTAGGTTTCGTCAATTTCATCGGCGGTAAACTCCTTTGCAACGAGCTTGTTGTCATCGTCATAAATGTCGTACGGGGCGAATGCAGGCATCGTTTGCCAGTCGCCATCATCCTTGTCATCGTCCTCCTTCTTGTCTGACGTCAGTTGTTGATGGGAGAATTCGGACACGCCGACATTGCTGGCGTTGCTTTGGTCTCTCTTGTGCTGTGCCTTGGGAGAGGTAGGCTCTGTCATCTTAGGCTCGGGCTCGTCTGCCTTGTCAGTGAGCTTTGCAGGTGACCCAGGCTGCTGCACCTGGGAACCATTGGGCTTAGTGTCTGATGCTGTCTGCTGCGATTCCTCTGCATCGACCCGATCTGTTTCTCTGTTTATCGCAACGGCCTGGTTCTTGCTCTCGGTCTGACCGGACGTTGAAACTCCTGTTTTTGATGGTGTCTCCGTGCTGGCCTTGGCGGTCACCACCTCTTTGGCTTGATCCTTCGTCTCTTCCTCGACTTCCCTAATTGCCGGAATATCCTGGTCATTGGCCTTGCCGTCATCGTTCCTGGTTGTCACGTATTTGTCACCAGCTTCTTCTTTGTCCAAATTTGAAGTTACTGGGCTTGATGGTGTGTTCGAGGTCGACCCGGAAGCTGCGGCCGTGGCCGGCTGCTCAGATTGTGCATCTTTGAATTCGTCATCGTCGCTTTCAGACTCGCCGTCTTTGCCAATAACCACTTTCCTCGGTTGAGGAACCGTCTCGTTACTTGCGTCTATTTTCTGCCCATCGTGCAATGACTTCGATTGGGACTCGTTCGGTTCGGATTGAGTGTCGCTCGTGTGATCGGCCTCTTCGGGTGGCGGTAACACGTATCGTCTAATGGGTAGGCCGAAATCGTCCACCTCGGGATTGTCGCTCGTCGTGGCCACAGTGGTAGTTTGCTTTTGCTTTGGTGCAGTTGCAGTCGCATCTGGTGCATGAGTGCCATTCGGTAGCTGGTCATCTGCCTCCGTACCCGCGGCGGCGGCGGCGGCGGCTGTCGTCGAAGAGGGATTGTTGTTGGTGATGGTGGCAGACTCGTCTGAGCCCGCCATGATGGAGATGTCGTGTGTGTGCCTTGACACAAGCATGCGAGCTGTCTCAATGTGCCAGAAAGAACTCAGGCAAGCCAAGGCGAGGGGGTGACAGTTTGGAGTATTGGAAACAAATGGGTCGCGGACTTATGCCAGTTGGAGTAGGACGACGCGCAGCAGCCAGTGGCGCGAAAGCGAACCACTGACTTCGTAAAGTGGCTGAGATTAGAATTACTGTGCGATATGTTTTCCAGAGGTGCCGAATGCGCTGCAAGACGTGCTGACTTTCGAGGATTCAAGCAAGCGCGCATCCAACCCAAAAGATGGACCGGGGGGGGACTCGAGGGGTGTCCACGTGTTTTTTTTTTTTTTTGGGGGGGGGGGGGGGGGGGGGGAGGGGGGGGGGGGGGGGGGGAGGGGGGGAGGGGGGGATGGAAGCAAAAGGGTGGGGGGGTGGGGGAGTGGAGGGGTGTCCACGTGTTTTTTTTTTTTTTTGTGTTTCTGGCAGGGTGGTTCTCTCGCGAGGGGGGCCCGCGAGCTTGAAAGGAATGATGTAGAGGTCGTTTGGCGAATTTGATCGTTCAGTTATTATTACCTTACCTTGGTTAGGGAGTCAGCCAAACATCAAATCC